AATCGCTTTGGATGCGGGAACAAACTGGAAAGAACACGAGAGGATTATTTGGCTATGTAATAATTATTCGAAAAATAATATTCTCAAAACATTTGTGTATTTTGTGCTACTTACTTAGGGGCAGTGTTCTTTCCAATAGTTTGTACAGGGTGCTTGGTGAATTTACAAAGCCCTTAGGGATCATCGTACTGTTCCAGTTTGATATAAGCAAGTGCTGTGATAGGATAGAAAGAGAGTGAGTAATACGCTTAGGCACTGCGAAAGACTAGTTTTCGATTTGAAGAAAGGATTATTTATAGTTTTGGCTAAGCTAAAAGAAAGCTTTATTTGGACTGTAAATCAAAATTAAGGGTTCTATGATCAAGAAAGTAGCATTTAACTGTATAATTTTCAGCAATTTATGCATTTTTTTACAATAAGTTAGAATATAAATTTATAGTTGATGATTTCCTATCTATCCTATGATATTTTAGGATATTGTAAGGACTTTAAATACCTTAATTTTGTCAAGAAATATTATCTAATAAAAGGTTTTTTGGCTCAGTGTAACATTAACTAGCGTGCAACAAGAGGAGCCAGCTGGAAAAGTCGTTTATCATTTTATTTTTTTTATTTTTGTATATACAAATGCGTGTGGGAGGGACTGGAGCAAAGGAGGAGCACCAGACAGGAAAAGGGCTTGGCTCGCATTAGGGTGACAACGAAAACTGGGACAGTGTCGGTACACAACAAAAAAACTTTTCAGGCGGTGTGTATGCGTGGGATATGGTCTATATAGGATGAGCAACTTCTCCCTCTTACCCTTCTGCAGATCCATGTCGTCCATTTCCGAGTTCTTGATCTGCTGCAGCTTCTCACGGAACTTCTTGGTGATCTGTTTGCGCTGGTAGTCCGCCTCGATTTCCTGCTTAGTTCGCGGTATACGAAAGCGTATGCAGCAGCACACCATTATCACTGGGTGGTAAGTAACATATTATCATCCATTATTAACGTATCTATATTAAAATTTCACATTTTCTACCCACTTATAAGCATCAGAATGCCGATAACGGCGGCTATTATGTGCCATACTCGAAATCCCGCAATGGCATCCTTTTCCAGCCACACTTCACGCGGGTCAATGTCAAAGATATCCGTATCGTCATCCATGGTTCCGCCTGATTTATGGTGGAGTTAGCTCCCGAGTCACACGTCCGGCTGCCTTGCCAATCCAGTTACAACTGCTGTCCTGCGGGTCAGGAGCGGCTAGGAACTGGCTTAGGTTGGCCTGGCTCACCAAATATGTTGGTAGGAGAGGCGGCGGAGGCGTGGCCCCACACACTCCCTCGATATATGGGGTGTAGCCCCATATGGCGTTCCAAATGGCAAACTTGTAAAATAACAAACAAAAGGAGCCCTCGCCCTCTGCCCTGAGCAAATGAAAGCTGGAACGCGAAAATGTAATGATAGATATTTTAGTAGCTACGGTGTGGGATTTTTTCCTAAAAGGGGAATTGTCTTTATAGTTTTAGATATATTTTTCAGGAATCCAGGGTTTTATTATGGATGTCTATTGCAGTGAAAGGTAAAATGTATCTATGAAAATACTTTAATAAAAATATATCAATCAATTTTATACAGAAAACACTGTCATAAGAGTTGGCTTAAGGTTCTGATTCTTAACCCAAAGAATTCTTAAAGGACTGTTTATTTTCTAAATATTTTCCTTAATTTGAATTCCTTCCAGATCCGCCCCTGGTCAGTCCCATCGACCATTGTGGATATGAATGTGAAAATGACAACAAACTCAACTCGAACCCAAGAAACTGGGTGCGGCGGTTGTGTGCCGCATGCCTCAGGATAAAAAGCCCCCACTCGCTTTGCATACCCTGAGCGGGAGGATTGTGGATGGAGGAATTCAAGGAGGGACAGACCTTTTGGCCTCCCCCAACGGAAGACAACATGCATATGGTTAGTTAGTTAGTTGGACGAGCCATGGGCCACCTGCTGGTCACACCCAATTGGTTCGCTTACTTACACTCTCACTATCGGCAAGCCGCCGCCGAGATGGTAAACTGCAAAAGTCTGGGCGGGATTCCGGAGGCGCCCAGACGGTGGCCTAATGACTGTGACATTTAGGGGTTGGCAACGAGAATTATGGGATTGCAATTATTCTAGGATGGCTAAGGGAAGGAGAGGGTAAGTTTTTGCAATTAAATTCGATATTGTGGTTTTTCTGCAACTAAACTATTCAAATTATCTTAAGGGTACATTTTTTAATAACAAGACTTTTACATATTTAAAGCAAGTAAAATGGAATGGGAAGAATTGCATTTTTAAATTGAAAACAATACAGTTTATAAAATTAATTTTGATATTGGTAGTCTATATATATTTTTTCTAACCTCCATAGATGAGAGAAAAACCTGTAAGAATTCCTAGGACTTTTTAAATCCTTAAAAATGGGTCAAAAAGTATTTAAAGTTTTCTAAGGGATATTTTTTTATACTTTTAGATAACTTCCAAATTCCTGGACCGATTTCCTCGACTTCGACTACAAAATAATTTAAACAAAAACAACCGTTACAATCGCTATCGAACCATGGCGCCACCTGGCTGCCTTTCATCGGAGATGGCAACCCCCCCAGCAGGAGCATTCACAATGGTGGAACGACCCCCCCTGAAGGATGTTACTCGCTGGATCCAGGCGCAGGCGCCGGAAACAAGGTCCGTATTGGAGCAGCAGCGAGTGGGGCAGCAGCACTCATTCACCTACTCATTCAACAAAATATGTGCTATCCCCGAATCAGTTTCAGTTCAGGCTCTCGTTCGGTGGCACATCGCTGGGCGCTCGTCGCAGAGAGAAGGCATGCAGAGAAAATATCTAGAAAGTAGAAAGTTGCTGAAAAAAAGTTAGAGAGCAGGGCAGAGCAGTGACAGAAGCCACCAGACCAGGCTGAGCCAAAGCTAAGGGAACGAAATCGGAAAAGGAATAGCTATATATTGAAACGGAGCAGGCACACGCACACCCAGCAGCAGCAGCAGGAATCGTGGCGCTATATAGTATTATCCTCGGATCGAATCGCAATCGCAATCGGTGTGCTCGGGGTGTGTGTGCGCGCGAGTGTGCGAAGGCGAGCGTGTGTGTGTGTGTTTGTGCGGAGTACATATGTAATAGGGCCATGAAGTTTTATTGAGAAAAAAAGAAAATAAGCGAGAAAATCAAGGCAGAGACACACACAAGGCGAAATAGGACCAGGAGTAAACCTCCTTATCCCCCCGGCCACGAGGAGGACCTCCGCGAAGAATGCCCCATGCAAAATCCTTGCCCATGTGGCTCCAAATGGGAGTCACCCATTTGGTAACGTGCAGCTGAAAAAAGCAGGCAGATGAAAAATCCCCCAAGTCGCTGGTGAATCCTGTTGAGCGAAAAACCAAAAAGGGGAAGCAGCTGCAGCCAAATCAATAGGAAAAACTAGGAAAATCCGCTAGGAAAACGCTAACGCTTTCGCTGTGCGAAAATCGGGGCCGAAAATGTGCGAGTGTGAGCGTAAAAGTGCGTGGGTGTGTGTGTGAGAAAGGTGTAAAAAATGTACATTCTGTGAATTGGCCACATAAAAAGAAAGAAAACGAGTAACGAGAGTGTAACGACGAAACGTTATATTTAGAGTCGACAGTCGGCAGTCCGCAAGTCCTTTTGTTTTTGTTGTTGTCATCATCTCCAGTGGAGACTGTGTGGAACGGCCATCAAAATGCCCAGAGATCCCGCCGACTCCGGCCCCGTTACCGTATCCAATGACTCCGGCGCTGGCCCCATTCCCGGCCAGCAGCAGCAGCAGTATCAGTACCAGGAGCACCAGCAACAGCAGCATACAACGCGCCCGCCCACGCTGTGAATCCCCCGATTTCCAGCACCAACCAAGCCAGCAAGCATCTGCAATTGCAATTAGACGCATATAATCCACAAATCAATAAATAATCACCAAGCAAAAGTAAGCACCGCTTCCCCCCGTTCTGTTTTAAATCACGAATCACGCAAAAACGCAGCTGAATCCGTGTAAATACTCGTAAAATCCCAAAACTACTCGTATATTTTGCACATATTCGAGCGCTTTTGTTTTGACCGCCAAACCTTGCACGCCTATCGCCGCCAAAAATAATCGATATTCGATTGAAAGCAACCGTTAGTTTTGGACTAGCTTTTATATATTTTATATTTTAGTTTAATTTAAAATATAAAAATAATCTTGTGAGTAAAGTAATTTGAGTAAAAACTAAAAGACGTTAGTAAAATGTACAAACATATTTTTATGTTTAAAATGTATATTTATGTTTGCCATAGTTTTTTTTAAACTTGTTTAATACCCATATTATTTAGATGGTTTACATTTTGGTAGCTTCTGTATAAAGTAATTAAAATTGGGTATTAAAAGTATATTATTAATATTTAATCCCATCCATTAAATTATTATTTATATATTATATTATTTCTTTATTTTTAGAGCTTATATAATTAAGGTTTAATATAAGTTTTTTCTGGAAAAAATACACTTAAAGAAAATCTAGCTAGAAATAAAAAAGAAAAAAAATAGAGTTCAATTAAATAATAATAAAATTAATTATGTATATAAATAATGTTTTAATGAAAATACATTTATTTATTCTATTTAATTGAATTAAATTATTATTAAATAATAAAAAAAACTGAAAATATACCCAGAAGAGAAAACTATCGTACCCTATCGGCACTGAAACTTCGATAATGTCATCTCTAAGTTTGCGAATATCGATAGCACCGTGAGAAGAAGAAGAACTAAAGATCAGTTTTTGCCGAAAAAAGTCCGTTTTATTATTAAAACCTCTGTGTAAATAAACTTTTCCTGGTTATAGACTTCAACTATATCTTGTGCAGTTCTCCTAATCAAAACGAGTAAGGTTGAACAAGTTAAAATATAAATTCTACATCCTTTTGCGACCATTACGATTTGTTTGGCTTTTTATGGCACTTTTAAAAGCTAGTTTAGTTTCTCTGCCACCCAAGAGTTGGCCACACCGACAAGCAACTTTAGTTTAGTTAGTTTATTTAGTTTTCCCGGAATTAAACAAAAGGCCCACGTCGTTCTTCGGTGTGTGCTTTCGGTTCTCCCAATTCGCGTGTGCTGTCATCGGAATATTCGGGTGTTTTTGCGGTGTGTTTGTGTGTGTGTGTGCTGCTCCACATTTGTTATGTCAATAATTAGCGGATAAAAGGAACCGTAGAAAGGCCGGAGACCGCAAAGAAACGCGTGAAAGGTGTTGCTCCAACTGGGAACTCGGCTTAGATTTCCTCGTTTTCCATATTTCCCCGGGAATTGCATTTGGCAATCATACGGAAAATTGATTTTTTGCCAAATGCGCGAATATATTTTCCATGTTTTTTTTGTGAATCCAGCTGGAGAGGAAGAAAAGGAGAAAGATGGGGAAGGGGAAGAGGAGAGCGAGCGGCTCGAGTTGTGTGAAAGTCCAATTGGATTATGCCAAGCGGAGCCGGGCTTTGTCCGATTGCCAGATTCTTGTTGTTGCTTTGGCATGATACTTGTCTCCTCTTTTTGAATTACATTAAATATTTAAAGCATATGCAAATTTGAACAGTGGCCCCGTAAAAGGAATAAAGTACATTTTACCTGGCGCGCGGCCTCAACGCGCTTCTTACTTGCCTCTGTAGTTGTTACTAATGTTGTTGTTGTTGTTGTTGGGGTTGCCGCTTTAGTTGTTGCTCCTTACCGCTCCTCTACCTTGCGTTCCCTTCCCCCCACCCTCGATGACACACCTTCGGTTAAACTCGGTTCCGTTGAGTTTTCTAGAGATGAGACTCAAAACTTTCTTTCTCCTGCTTCCTTTATTGTTTTTAATCCAAATTTAAGATATTAAAAAAATAATAATAGTCATAAAAACGTATACTTTAATTATTTTTGTAACTATGAATGAAGCAATCATTTCCGACCCTATAAATCATATATATTCTTGATCAGCATTAACAGGCGCATCTTTCTAGCCATGTCCGGAAGAAAAACATATTTTTGCAATTTTTTCAGAATTTGATAAGGGGTTACATCGTTAAAATTTTCAAAAATCTCAAAAATTTTCAATTTCTTAAAATTTTAATTTAAATATTAAATAATATTAAATATTTATTTGTTAACCTATTAAAAACTAACATAAAAATGCTTTCCGAATTAAAATTAATGCATTTTTGGCAGAGTTATGAATAATTTAAACTGCAAGGATATACAAACTTTGACTACCCGAAGTTAGCTTCCTTTTTGGTTAATTTTGATAAATATTAGAACTCTTCGACAGCAATCGTTTCCAATCTTGTATTATTCATAAACCAAAAGGACTTTTTAAATAGGTTTCTTCCCAAAAGAATTCTAAAATATAAACCCCTAACCCTCTGAAATCCAGATATATTTCAACATCCTTCCCCTCTGGCTCATCTCTAATTGTGCAGCCTTTCCTTGCCACCTTTTCTCTCAACCGCCTTTAGTGTCGTGTAAATCGTTTTGTGTGGTGAGTGCGCTGCCTCCTTTTTTTGTATTTTTGTTTTTTAGGTCTGCTCGTGTGCCGGAGCCTTTTTTACTTTGCTGCTTACCCAAATACCGACACCCCAAATCACTCACAGGCACACTCAGTCACATAGGCGTCGTGGTTTTTGGCTTAGCAGCAGCAGCAGCAGCTGTGGCTTACATCTCCCATTTTCCCGCTTCCGTTTTCCCCTCCCATTTTCCTCGATTCAAATGCATTTCGATTGCTTCGTTATGCTGCTGTTCCAGTGCACTTAACTTGTATGTGTGTGTGTGAAGGAAAAGGGATTCTTAAACAGCGTTTTCCTTGATTCCATGTGTCTGCAATGGGTGTCTATCTTTCGCCTTGGCTCGTACCTTTCGTAGCCTCTGTTACCATTTCGCACGAACGCTTTTCCCGGGGCCAACAACAATCCCATGTCCTTGTCACTCTCTACACCCCTGCCCCTTGGCACCCCTCGTCGTCCTTTTTGGCCCACTTGGGCGACACGTGCTCATTATGCCGCTTCAAATTCTACTCCACTTTTTGACTTGCAACGACTCCTTCTTCTTCCTTGGGAGGATTCTCCTTGAAGCTGAGACTTTTGCCCCGTACAGAAAAAAAAAGAATTATAATTTGTGAAATTTAAATATTAAATATGTTTATTTATGCAGTCGGAAGAGTGAGTTGAAAAGTGAATTCAAGGAATATTAGGTTACATGAATAAGATAACCTTATGCTTTATATTTTAGTCTAAAAATTGGTTTAGAAATGTTTTTGTTAATCAATTATAAGTTAAATGATTTTAATTTCATATAGTTTTTAGCACAAAAATAAATTAATAATATAACTAATTTAAGAGATTTCAACCTTTTCTAGTTAGATATGATATATGAATCTCCCTTCTTGCTTTAGCTTAAAAATCTTATTTAAATTTTACGCTTAAAATAACTATAAAATATTCTAAACAAATACAACAGAAAGCCTTAAAGTCACCTTTCAAAAAATCACGCATACGCAGTGTTACCCCTAAGCATTTCCCAGGATTGATGGCAAGGCTTTGCCTTTTTTTTTTTTAATATAACTATTAAAAATTAAATGGTAATGAAGCTTTTAAATGTTGGCTTATTGCTATCCCAACACTTTGCACATGCTTTTGTGGAGGGGTCACCTCTGGCCCACTGATAACCATAACAATCTTGTTTGCTGTTTGCGTTTGGCAATTAAAAACTTGTTGATTGTGGGCTACATAGTACCTATTCCCCCCCTTTCCCCCCCGTACTTATTCCGGGTTCTAATTGAGATGTAGCCAAACACACACACACAGCCGCCCAAACACTAATATTTGATTTATGGGGAACTAGTTAGAGTCTGTGGAACAGTCCATTTTGGTGGCTTCGACAACTGTAGGGTTAGCCATAAAAGGTTGCCCATGGATTAGCCGCTTGAAAAGGGCAGTGGTTACCATTTTTGGGTTTAAGGTTATATAGAGCTTTGTGGTTTCTGTTGTTTAATTATATTTAAATATATTTTAAATAAATACAACTAGTTATCTTTGAAGTAAATAAGATATGAAAATAAAGGGTGCTCACAAAGACAATCTAGTTATTCTAAATACCAAAAAAAAAAACAGAACTTTTACATATCCCACTAACCTTACCATATCTCCTTTCTGTTTTTTACAGTTTTGCTGATAACGTAAACAAGTGGCAATAACATAGAATAAATTAAACACGGCAAAAAGTTAAGAAAAGGTTACAAAAAAAAAGGCCCCAAAAAAGTAAATGCGAATTTCGGAGTGAAACAAGTGCAAAGTCAACAACTTGTGGGAGTCCAAGCGCTATTGAGTTTCGAGTCCTTGAGTTCTTGGATCCCTTGCCCGTGTCCGCGTCCGCGTCCGTGCCCCGTGTGTTAGTGTTGCGCGTAAGTGAGTCCGGACTCCGGAGAAGCCACAACGTCGTCCACAAAACCATCGACCTCAACTGCCGCCGCTGCCGCCGCCGCTGCTGCTGCTGCTGCAGGATCGGGATCAGGTGCAGGAGCAGTATCCGGTTCGGGAGCGGGACCTGCTGCTGCCGGTCACCAAAGAAGCGGCGGACGCAGCGGCCAGCGACGTCGCAGTAGCAGCAGTAATCCACACGCCGGCACAACGAAAGCGACCAGCGGCAGCGGTGGAGCTGGCAGTGCCGGCGGAGGAGGCGGTGGCGGCGGCGGTGGTGGCGGTGGGGTCAAGCAGAGCGTCAGCCGGAACAGCAATATACGGAGCAGCAGCTCGAACAGCACCATGGCCTCGGCGAATCACCGAGGTGGCGGCGGCGGGAGAGGTGGCGGTGGCGCCGTCGCCGGGGCCGGTGCCGATGGCAATGCGATCGTTGGCCTCCAAATCGGTTCCGCCTGGTTTCAGCGCAAGATCAACCTGAGGCCGCAGCATCGCGGTGTTCATCTGGTCACCGAGGAGATACTCCGCCAGATGCCGGAGCTGGCGCACTTCTCAGTGGGATTATGTCACATGCAAAGTGAGTAGAAAATTGAGAGCAATTAACAATTTTAGGGGAAACTCGAGAAAGCTAGAAAATCAATTTTAAACGTCCGAAATCGACTTTCAATAATATCGCTTACATTACTTTCGGACGCGTTAGACGGCACCCACCTTTTGCCGCAGTTGATTACCCGAATTCGTAGCTCAAATGTCAGTTAATCGACGGGACCAGCTGGTAATCTCTGCCAGCTGCCGGCAGTTCCTCGCCCCCTCATTTCCATACCATCCATCTTACTCTGTTCGATGACGATTTCGCACACGCTCCGAACTGGCTTTAACTCGAAGCCAGGAGGAGGAGTGACAGGCCAGTAGACTCGGGAGGATGAAGGAGCAGGCAAAGCATCGCATTTCCTTTGTCCGCCCAAAATGCCGGGATTGAATTTCCCCAGAGGGGTGGCGAGTCCCTTCCTAGGGCCAAGGCGTTTGCATTTTCGGTACAAAGTTCAGTCAGGACAAACAACAGAACGTGGAAGTTGCATACCAAATCAAGGCAAGAACTGCACAAATTGTTGCCGAATTTAGCAGGGCGTTCGAGAGCAGCATTCGGATTCAGAGAACTTGAAGGACTCGCTGGGACAGCAGCAGCTAAGGCTCATTTGTATTAGCAAGTAACTGGGTTAAACTAAACAGAGAGATAAACTAGCCGACTGACTGACCGGCCACTAGCTTTGGCACAAGAAAATTGCGATTGACATTCGTTGGGCTTTTGGAATGTCCAGAGTAGTCAAGGCTTTTGTGTGACCAAATCGAAGGTTTGACCCACATGTAGACGAAGTTACCCCAAATTAAATGAGATGGCAAGTGGGGTGAGTGCTTGAGTGCTCCTTGCTGGACAGCCAGGACATTAAGGGATTATTCTTTAAGCGAGTCTTAAATACAGCTACAATTTGTAGTTTTTAATTATAAATAACCCTACGATTTCTAAGCAAGCTTTCACTTCATTTTCGAGCTTAGTTTCCAACTCCTATATATGCAATGTGCCTCTTGACAGGACGCAAGGCGATTTGAGTCCTTGTTTAAGCTTTATATTTCTTGCTGCAAAGGAATGCATTCGCAGTAATCTTCGGATTGCAGTTTCTGTAAAGTATTCCCTTTTTGCCGCTGCTGGTGCTCTCTGCACACTAATTCTCGTGTGGAATCCCCGCTTTCAAAAGCCTTCTGACAGCAAAAGGACACAGAAAAAAAAGGATACCCCACAAGATACAATACTCTTCATTTTGATTAAGAGGTAAACCCCCATAAAAAGACTTTTAACTAATCCTAAATTCATTTTTATAAGGCAAACCTTAAAATTACATTTTTCCTTCTACTTCGAGTTAAAACTCCTTCCTAATTTTTCCCTGTGTATAGAAAACGAAGCCCAAGACATCGAGCAGGCAGTGCAAACAGAGAAACAACCTCCAGAGTTGGCTGCCTTGGAGGCAGCTTCTTGTTGACAGTTCGCATTACAATGCCAGGACGCGTTCCGTTCCTCCAAGCTGCGGCTTTCCATCTCTCTTTTTTTCTCTCTCTCTCGCTTAGACCTGGGTAAATAAATAAAATCGTATCATAAAACGCCAGTTGAAAGGAGAGGGTAGGGACGGGAGGGGGGATATATATGGGGGCTAGTTGGGAGTTTGGCCTGGCTAAAGTGAAAAGCAATCGTCGTCTTAGTCGCAGTCGTCGCTCATGTCTGCATGTCATGGTCTGTGGCTATGGCGTGTGAATGCTCGAGGCGAACTTTTCCCCCCAGCCCCAACACATTTTCCATTCCTTTGGAAACCCCCTCTTTATGCCATGTCTCTGTATAGAAGAAAAAAATAGCTGGCATCGTTGTTATTGAGCGAATCTGGTTTTTATACAATTTTTAATTAAATATTTTCTTTATATATTGCTTCAAAATTATATAAAGAAAAAATACACAAAGCGTATATATTTTTTCTTTACTTTTTAATTAAGTGTGTTCACAATTTTATAGAAAAAACTGTCATCGTTGTTATTAGCGATTCTCTTTTTTATTAATTTTTTACTTTAATATTTTCTTAATATTCTCTTCTTAATATATTGCTTTAAATATACATATGTTTTATTAATAACGTAGACACAATTTTATAAACATTTATATAATTTTTCGGAGAGCTTCTGGAGGTCCTTGGATACTCCATGTGGGGCAGCTCTGTTCTAACTGTTTTCCTTATGATTAATTTACCTTTACAAGGATATATCTTTAAAAACAATATTTCATAGTTTTTAATAGATTAATTTTCTGTTTAGTAAAGTCCATACCCATTTCTTTCTGTGTGGCTCTCGCAAATCGTCTTAGCCAGCACATTGCAGGCAAGTCTTTATTATTACGGAAACCTTCGTTCTCGCTTGCTCTTTCCTCCTTTTTTTTGCCAAATCAAAAGCACGTGTGTCCCTCCTTCAGACCCTATTGCTCACCCACCCCCTTTTTTCGCACACCCATGCTGTGTGTGCGTGTTTGTTGTCTGGGGTGCTCACTGTACGTGTATTGTTTTGTGAACTGTAAGCGGAATCTAATTGAGGTCAAGACATGTTTATTGATTTTCTTAAAAGGACTTCCTAATTAGACACACACTTTACCCAAAAGGAAGCTTAATCTTTACCCCCTTTTTTTCCCAGCAAAAAACAAAAAAGCCAGAAAAACTAGTGGTAAATAGTAAATGCTGGCAAATGAGAGGCGACTCCCCCGTTTTCAATCTTGCTTCCCTTCCAAGGAAAAGCCAACAAAAAAGTTAATTTCGAACAAAAAAAAAAAAGAAAATAGGAAAAAATAATTTCAAAGCAACCTTGCCATATGTTGTTGTCTTTTAGTATTGACCTCAATAGCCCCTCCTCCTTCCGCCCTTTGTTTCTATGGGGAAAAGGCGCACAAACAACAACCGAAAAGTCAATGAAATGTTCGGTTTCGGGGGAAAAAGTGGCCAAGAGAGGACACACAACAAATCACAAATATATACAAAAATATATGCCAAATGTAATGGTAACTTGTTAAACACAACAATGGGGGAATGCAAGGAAATGCTGAGGCTAAAAAATGATATATCATAGTCGGAGCACCGACTTTCCCACCTGGCAGCGCTCTGCCACAATGCGGCGACTTCCCCTCCGACAATGACTTGGTTTTCTTTTATTAATATTCATATGTGCGGCAGGAAGGTCGTCCGAACTGACCCATTCGGGGGGGCTTCTACCATATCCCCAATATATCGGTGAGACCTCGAAGTTCCCCCAAACAAATGGCAATCGCACATAGCCCGCAAACGTAAATATATGCATAGTATGTAATAGCCAGGCTAATTGCCAGTTGGGGGGCTGTTTGATGATTTGTTTGGGCTTTTACTTAATCCAACATTTAAAAGGTTAGATCCAAAGGAAGTTGCAGCGATAGGAAGTGGAAAATGGGGTATGATATAAGGTTTTACTTTTTTAGGAATTCCTAAAAATATATCTATATTATTTAGGGCTTAAAAGGACAGTTTGAAATCTGGGTTTATAAATATATTATAATATATTATATATATAAATATATATTTAGAAGTTGTTTGTTTAGTTCTGTTATGGATATTTTACATATATAATTCCCAACTGGTTTTAACATCCCTGTTATGAAGTGATGGTTACCGGTTAGATATAGACAGTGGTGTTGTGTCTTTGTGTTATTACATACATATTGCTTTTTTTTATAGTAAGGTAACTTAATTTTTCATAATTTAAGAAGAATTCCCTTTTTTAACAATTTTTATGAGTGTAGGAAAGGCTTTCTTTGAATTCCAAGTAAGAATATCTTCAAAAAAGTAACCCAAAGTCAGCTATGCAGCCAAAGCTTTAATACAGCTTAAGTTCCAGTAGTTTACAAATATATTGTTCTAAGAAATTCAAACTTTAAATATGTCCCAGGATCCTTACCAGGACTCCCCCTTTTTGGACCCTCAAAAGATTCGGGGGAGGAGCCATCCTCGACAGCAATTTGCTGCATAATCGCAAGATCATATAAATGGCTCAACTTCAATTTATAACCCGAGCATATTTCTCAGCCAGAAAGGAAAGGACTCCACGGTGCCGGAGTGTCCTTTTGTGGGAAGAGAGAAGCACCACCAAATAAATCAACAGCCAGCGAAAGCGAAACCAATTTGGGGGGAAGGGGTGCCCGCCTTTGAGTTTGGGAGTTGCTTCTTTTTTTTTTTTTGGAGCCTCTAACATTAGGGGTAGAGCGGGTGTATGGGTGAGTGTGCTCCTCGGCCATTTCTCTTTCGCCCTCGTCCTTTTTGCTGCGCCACAGTTTCGTGACGACAGGAACAGGACAAAAACTGCGAAAAGAGGAGAAAACAAAGCGGAGAACAGCGAAATGGAGAAAGGCGAAAAAGGAAAACAAATCGTGCCATGTGTGTGTCATACTTTTTGGGTTTCCGTTGTGTGCGGGCTTTATTCCCTGCCGCCCCACTGGCCACCGGCCTCCTTGCTGCCTTTCTGCCTTCTCCTTGCTCCTTTCGCTTTCGCTTTCGGTGTTGCTTAGCATTAAAATTGCTCGCTTATGAACCGCAAAATACGCTGCTGCTGCGCTACCCAATAAATCAATATTATTTATGCAAAACGAGCACGCCAAAAGGTTTTTCGGTGGCCCGCTTTTCCGATTTTCCCAATGCTATCTCGGGGTGTGCTTGAACTAGTTCCGCTTTAGCCTCTTGCCTCGTTTTTCCCCCCCTACGTTCCGGTGCACCCAGCACCAGCAGCACCTGACACCAAAGGAAAAACGTGTACGTGTGCTATACGTGATATGTTAGATATAGGACACCAGGCAACCTCATTTCTTCCGGTGTGCTGCTCTCTGATTTCTAAGCCTGGAGTCTCGGGATAAGCATAAAAGTCAACGGCTATGTAATAAGAAGGTTGATGAATTTAAGCATTTCCTTTAGCATTACATTATGTAATATACACGCACACGCACACACACACACCCACAGCACACTCCTGTAGCACACTCACGTGCTTCTTGGATCCTTACTTTGGTGGTCAAGTAAATAGGAACTGAAAGGGATCCTTTTATGTGGATGTTTTAAGATATCTTCCAGTATCAGGAAAATATAGATAAGTTCTTTGAAAGTCTTGATAGAATTGGTTAAAACTATAATTTTTAAAATGAAAGAAATACAATTTTACATTGTATCATTTTTGTATATTTTTAGAAGAAACATTGGTTCACTTTCAGGATGAACATGTTCATTGGCTTAATCATTGGTTATTAGTTAATATTTTATATCCTTGCAGGTTAATTTTAGCCAGAAATTTTCAATGATGGAGTCATTTCCAAACTATTTTTATACCCTTGCAGGGTATTATAATTTCAGTCAGAAGTTTGCAACGCAGTGAAGGAGACGTTTCCGACCCTATAAAGTATATATATTCTTGATCAGCATCAACAGCCGAGTCGATCTAGCCATGTCCGTCTGTCCGTCTGTCCGTCTGTCCGTTTCTACGCAAACTAGTCCCTCAGTTTTAAAGCTATCTGAATGAAACTTTGCATATAGTCTTCTATATACTCTCACTGCTATATATGTCGGAACGCGCCGGATCGGACGACTATATCATATAGCTGCCATACAAATGTTCGATAAATTTTTAGAAAAAACATTATAACTTTGCTGTTTTTCAATATTTTTTTTTTGGCCGTTTTTAGATATGGCCGTTTTATATTATTTTTGAATTTTGGTAAAAATTTTATGAAAATCGGACGACTATATGATATAGCTGCCATAGGAACGATCGAGAAATAAATAGGAAAACAATTATAGCTTCGTTGTTTTTCAACGTATGTTTATCTACTCTGATATATAAGCTTTTTTTATTATTCTAGAATTTTGGTATAAATTTCATAAAAATCGGGCAACTATATCATATAGCTGCCATAGAAGCGATCGGTAAATGTATAAAATATGTAAACCTGGGAATGTAAAACTGTTACTGTCAAACTGTAAACATAATAAGTATAGGTAAAATTTAATGAAACTCTTTTTTGTGAGTGTTTTCAGCATTTAAATCTATACTATGAACATCAAAACCAATCTGCAAGGGTATACAAACTTCGGCGTGCCGAAGTTAGCTTCCTTTCTTGTTATTTGTATATTTAAGGATATCTATTTAAACAGTTTCTTTGTGAACACTTGATCACTTTAAGGATGAATATTTTTATTATATTTTATTTATTTTTGGGATAAACCAAATATTAGACGTCATGGATATTGCTGTTTCCTTTTGATACCTTTCGCTAGCTCACCTTTCTCTTCCTATATCCCGTATATCCTTGAGTCCTCTAACTTTAACCGCTGCTGTGTGGGTGTATCCGTATCCGTATCTGTGTCTGTGTCTGCGACTGTGTCTGAGTGCGTGTTTGCATGAATATATGAATGAACACAGCCAGCTGAGCTGAGAGTCAAGTCGAGAGTTGAGTTGTGTTCAGTCCATTGTTAAACACTGGCAATGTGCCTGTGTGTGTGGCCACTGCGGTTGTATATTTGCATCGGTATTGGTGGGTGTGCATGGTGTGTGTGCTCTGCTCGGTGCTTGTTTGTGCTGTCAGAATGTTTGACTTTGTATAATAAAAAGGCCTCTTTAAAAACATTAGCAACTTTTGTAGTGCCTAAACGCCTGCTACATGTGCCCAGGACGAAGGCTTTCCTCCAACTCTGGCCACCCCTTCCACAACCATACACCCACTCGCACACACACAGGCGACTAAACAGCTAAACAGGCGGCCAAAACGATGCCACCTGCTACTTAACGATGCGTACTGCACTGGGATAAATTCCTGGAGGTTGATTTGTTGGGTTAATTAGCCGAGAAAGAAGTTTTTGAAAGTTTAAAAATTCAAGAGAATATTTTTGAAACAAATAGTGATAAAGAATTTAGATGCTTTCAATAACAAATCTGTTTAATTTCTCCTAAAATTTAATTTAAGATGAATAAACATATTTTTACGTATTAAAAATATATATTTGTTCCCCTGAAAGCCAACTTTTAGGCATATTTTTGCCCAGCGCATAAACGTTTATTAGCGCCCAGGGCTTGGTGGCATAGGCAAACATAGACTTGAACCTCCAGCCCATGCCACACTCATCCACCTCCTCCCCACCAGTTAGCCATGTTAGCGACCACAAAGCCCATGGCTAAATCATATTATGGGGCGTCCTGCGCTCGGCCACCGGCTTAACGCCCTGGAGGAGCATTTTAACTCCTCCTGCCTACTGCCTCCTGTCTCCTGCTCGCCATTCCATTTGTGTGTTTGGTTTTGGCTGCAATGGCAAAAGTGTCAGTCAAGTATTCCAGGCGGATGCGCCAGTTGGTCTGGGCTGGGGGTTGGGGTCTGGGACAGGAGCACGGCATAAAATGTAAGCGGAATGCGCGAACAACTCCAAATGCCACTCAAAATCCGCAATGCAGACACGCAGAATTATGTGTTATATGATTAACATATTCTAAAATGGCAAACTTGTACGAGAATAGTTTCATATTTTTATTTATATTTAAATTTAAGTGCATAAATCTAGGTAAAAAATGTATTTGTATTTAAATGTTTATATAAATGAATTAAAAATGTTGTTAATTATCCATTTTTAATTAATTAATTAATTACTTCATTGTCTTTCAAGCTTTTGCCTCAAATTTTGATTTACATTTTCTACTCAGCGCGTTTATAAATATTTTTATTTATTTATAAATCAACATTTTGCTATTGTTAAACTATATTCTTTACCTCTGACAGGATAAGGAGTGTGATTTTATATATTATATTATATATTTTTGTTTAATTTTGCCAACTTTGGTAATACTTTTCCTTCCAATGACTAAAACCACATGCAATTTTCCTCCCAATGCCTCGTCCCATTTTCCCTCTCATTCCCAATCAAAGCCAAAGTCCAATCCTGCAATCAATTTACAAATTTGCTGTGACCTGTGACCCTCCTCCTCCCGTCTCCCGTCAACTGTCACTCCGGTTTCATTTTCATTTGCATGGTCGGTCCCGCTCACCTCCGGTGGTAATATTTAAATTCCTGATGCCATTTACACATGTTCAACATGACATAATCGCCTCTGAAATTATTTAGAAAGAAAGTGTGTGTGTGTTTGGTTTGGGAGGACTGCCCCCGGATACCGGAAACTGGCCAAAAAATCGGAACTTGGACATAAACATTGGCAGGCGGTAGGCGGTAGGCGGCTGGGTAGAAGAAGGAGTACCCGACCGAACATAGGAACACATTCCAAGTCTCTGCTCGGGGCCAGAAAATTACATCTCAGGGATTTGATAATAAACTAATTTTCGGTCGGCTTCCCCATCTGCCAGAGGCGGCGGCTTTCTCTTTTATTCATGAATACGCAATTAGTGTGCAAATTTAAGTGTTTCTCTTGTTGTGTGCGAGTGTGTGTTTCTCTCTGCTATTTATATTTCCATCTATTATTAAAACTAAATGCATTCATTCCTACCTCCCTCCCGCCCGAGTAAAATATTCAATTTCGGCTCGGCTCGGCTTTCAATGCATCGCTTGTGACATTTTCAGCTAGCTAGCTAGCCTGGCCTGAACCTGACGCTGGCATTTGGCCAATTTCCCAGCGAGTTGCCAGCGAATGTGTAGGCAATTATTGTTCAATTTTCAACTCCAAACATGCTCGTGTTTTTCTATATCGGGGGGGGGGTCATAACATAAATTTCCATTCTTTGTCAAACAACAATTTTATTTGGCATTTTTTTCGGTGACGATAAACCTTTTTTACGCTCTCTGTGTCCGGTTCGCTTTTCCCGCTAATCTGGAGTGGCTTTTTCATGTAATTAATTTGTTTACACAGAGTTGCTAATTGAAAGTCAATAAGCCAAGGTGTTAATTGATGGCACTGACTGACTGTTGAATAAAAGTTTCAATTGGACATTGGTATAAATGCAACTAATTAAATGCTCGTCAAAGATGTCCTAGTTAATTAGATTGATTTTTATCGCTTATTTACGGCTAAAGTCAGCCAAGATTTATTTTTATTTTGTGAGCACTTAAAACTTGGGGAATTGTGTTCAATAAAATGTGGTCTTTGAGAGGAGAAAAAGCGCTTGGTGAGGAGTGTTGTAGGGAAGGAAAACGTTTTTTCTCCTAACCTAACTCAATATTTATCGAAAATGAAATTCTAAATTGCTAAATTCTAAATTTATTATTAAAAAATAACCCAAAAAATGCAATGAATTCATTTGTCTCATTTTCCGATTTTATGATTTCGATTTATCGCCCCGTTAAACATCTTTATATCGACTTTGCTATCCAATATCGATACAATATCGAGATATTTACCCTTTTTTAGTGTCGAACTATTTAAAAAAAAATTTTCAAAGCCTTAACAACACCTCATCGTTCATGTTTTTCCATTCACTAGTGCTTTTACCCACTCAAAACATCTTTATATCGACTTTTCTATTCAATATCGATAAAATATCGACATATCTACCCTTTTTTAGTGTCCAATTATTTTTTACAAATTTTTTAAAGCCTCAAAAACACCTCATCATTCATGTTTTTCCATTCACTAGCTCTTTTAGCCTTTTAACAAATCCATTGACGTTTCCACTCGAACTGATTGAAGACAATCCTCCCCCCAGTTTAATTGTCCATATCTCATGTCTGTCATATAATTTGTGATACCTTATCGGTGAGCAGCTCAGCATTCCATGGCTGACTTTCATTTGTTGTGGGGCCCCCGAGGCAAAAACATTTTGACTAATTGGCGTTACAACTCAATTGAAAATGCATAGGAGTCTTCTACGGACGGATGGACTCGTGCTGGTCTAATAACCGAGGAGGAGCTAATAATTTCAAAGATTAAAGTAATCCCACCGACTAACTAATTGGCTTTGTTTCTCCGCTTGTTTTTGTTTGCAGTTCTTCACACCTCGGCGAGTTTAGCGTTAAACGAAAGCTGGGATCCAGACGTCAGGTGAGTGGAATGAATGGTGGTCATATATCATTGGTAATGGGGTTCCTCGATCCGCAGAGACGACATGGAGATGATGTTGAATAAAATAGTTCCCGAAGGCTTGCCCTACAGGCACTCGTGCGAAGGTCCCGACGATATGGTGAGTCTTGATTCTTATCCTTTATTGAATTTATACATATTTCTTGTTCCACAGCCCGCGCACGTAAAGGCCTGCTTTTTGGGCAGCTCCCTGACAATCCCGATCACCGACGGCAAGCTATCGCTGGGCACGTGGCAAGGCGTGTGGCTTTGCGAGCACCGCGACCAGGCCGGCTCCAGGAAGCTGGTGATCACACTGACGGGCTGTCCCCGCGAACAGGCCCGCAGTCCGCTGTCCCCCGTCTCGCCGATCGCCAGCACGTCCAGTTAGGGGCGGCCTCGCTCCACCCGCGACAGCCGGTAATCGCGGGGGAGCGACAATAATGCCATCATTTCGTCGAGGCGGCTGATATTGCAAAAGAACTTGGCTAGGGCGACGGCCCAGCAGCGGGCGGCGGCAGTGATTGCGGCCGGACGGGGCCTGGAGGCGACATATTCAGCGGCAGTGCCACCGAATATACCAGGCGTTGAGACGAAGACCGGACGCCTGTTGCTGCGCCAGCAGCTGCATCTCAATCTCAATTTGAATGTGCAGGAAACGCTGCGCGATGGCGTTGATATCGATGATGTGGACGAGGATGTCGGCGAGGATGATGATGATGATGATGAGGATGACAACAACCTAGAAACCGTCACAACAGTGCCTCAAACCAATGAACAACTTAACGCTAAGGTCATCGTAACCACAACAACAACAACAGCATCTAGTTCATCATCAACAGCAGCAGCAGCTGGAGGAGCAGCTGGAGCAACCAGCGCATTAGCCAAGTTCAATCGCATCATAGACTCCACACTGGAGAGGCCAGCATTAGGAGGAACAGGAGCAGCAGCTTTGCCGCAGCTGAGCAGTGCCACACTGCAGCAGCGCTTCAATCTGGCCTATCCGGAGCTGGTGAGTCAACAGGATGCCAACAGCAGCCTCAAGGGGTTACCCAGATTAGGAGGAGATCGTGGCTCGGTGGCCGTTGCCAGCACACCATTAACATTGCAAGCACCCAGAAAACCAGCAACGGCCACAGAGGAGGAGGAGGAGGAGCAAAGGGAACCCCAGGAAGAAGACGAAGAAGACGAAGACGATGATCATCCCCACCACGACGAGGATAATCAAATGAAACGAAATGATGTGCATTATTTGTTGAAACAGTTGAATAGTTTTAGTGATATTGAAGAAATAGAAATTGTTGATATGAAGCAAAGACCACAGCGGCGGCGGCGGCCGCAGCCGATGGCGTCCAGTTCACTGGCCACAATGGTGCTGCCAGCAGAAGCAGCTGCCACAAAGGCGGCGGCGGCGACCCACTCACCCACGTCGCAGTCGCATCGGCTGGTGCAGAGATCGGGCGACAGTTCGCTCGTCCTGCCCAACCAGTTTGATGACTATCTGTTCGAGTCCTGCCACTATTTGGAGACAAACTACTTTGCCGCCACCTATCGCACTGCCATGGTCGAGAGCAGCTCCCACGAGTTTCGGCCCTCGACCAACAGCAGCTCGAACAGCTGCTTCGAGCTGCACGAGATGGAGCCGCCCAGTGTTATATGCAAGGCGGGGGCGCCTCCGCCGCCTCGTTACCAGTTTGAGTATCAGGCGGAGACGCGTCTAACCACCAGTGGGGTGCAGACAGAGCTCACTGTGGAGTCGCTGGCCAAGCTGAGCAAGAGCAGCAGCAGCAGCAGCAGCTCGCCGCGTGCCCCGCCCTTCTTCCGATGCTGCTACACGCCCATCGACCGGTGGCGGGAGCGAAGGCAGCAGCAGAAGCCGCCAAAGGATGTCTGACCCTGGGCCGAAGCCACTCGAAGATGTAGGAGGAGATCCAACATGTGCCTGGCCAACTTGAAACGGGGATGCAAACCGCAGGAGCACAGATTGAATATGTTTTACAACGAAATGGAAACTTCCCCCCGAAATCTCTAGAGATTTTAAAGTTCCAAGCGAGGGTTTTGTGGGTTAAGGATAGTAGAAAGGATGTATTAAGGATTGGCTTACTTTGAGACACTTTTATTAGGACTTTTGAATTTCTAGAGATTTTAGTAAGATTTTTGAGGGATCTAAGGGAGATATTGAGGAGACTTTGAATCAAATTTAAGGAGAATTAAAATCGACTTGAGGTTTTAGGAAGATTCTGAATCAAATTTAAGCAGAAAGATTAACCAATTACTTTTAAATCAAAAGTCTTAATTTATATTTAAACCCGTTTGCATCCCCGTGATTTCTTTGGTCGCTGTTCTCATTTGCGATATCAACAAGAGATTCCATTTCGATCCACAGTCGATACACAAAGAATCACCAGAAAAAAATCCTCTCTAATCATTCCAAGGAAAGTTCATCATTATTGTACAATTTTATGATAAAGTAACAAAATAAACATAAAGCAGCCACAACTTATATATGAGTAAACAATTTTGTATAAACAAACAAACACACACCAAAAAGTTAATTAATTTTCAGAGTTTTTGTAAGAAAATAAATAAACACCTACGAGAAAGCAATTGTTACATCAATTACATCACACACACACACACCGTTTTTGTTGAATTTTAATTTAAGCTTTTAAGGAATTGTTATTTAAACGAAAATGCAAAGCGATTCAAGAGCAATATTAGTTTTTAAAATCAGTTCTTCTTCGGGTCTGTCAATTGTTTTGTTGAAAACATAAATCAAATCAAAAATATATATATCACTAACCTAAAGCTTTGGTTTAATGAAAAATAAATAAAGAAAAGAAGAACAAACTGAATTTATTTCGCCACAAAAAAAAACCAAACAAATGCCTTTACCAAAGGCAATATAATCTATAAGATGGGTAACGGCGCATGCAATTTTTTCAGCTAGCGAGGAGCTTCAAGAGAAACCCTAAAATTCAATTGCAAAATAAACCTTATGGCGTTATGCATCTTATTTGTTATATGGCCTTTGCCTTTACATCGCCCACACGTCGTACACTAGAAGAAAAAGGTAGTTGCCCCAGAAGAAGAGAAAGAAAATGAATGGTAAACACACATCCAATGTTAGTCAATAAAACGAAAATGAGCAAAGTGAACTAATTTATTTAAAGCAAAAAACAAAAACACAAATATATAATATATCAACATGTTGATTATGTTAATCATTAACGAACGACATAACATAACAAATAAGTTGTTAACGTTAACGGAAAACAGAAAACAGAAGAAGATGCTAAGAACGTTAGAGAAATTAACCTATATTGTTGTATGTTTTATTCAAAGTGCACGAAATTAAATGAAGATGAAAACCAAAACATTAACGTAATAGCTAAAAGGAAAATTTTTGTAAACTTTTTGATATGTGATGATGATGATGATGATTTGGATATATAAATTAGAGCCACGAGAAAAGCGTTATTAACCCTAGACATAGATATTTAAACTAATTACAAAGAAAAAAACAAAAGAGTAGAGCTAAAAAATGCCGAGTAAAGCTAGCTAAATTCTAAGATGAAAGTGGAGCAGGAGAAGGAAGCATCATCAGTCGCCCAGTTGTTATGCAATAATAGTAGCACCAATCCGGGGTTCCTCTCGATCCAAGGAACTGTTATTAGCAATATCGAATTATTGAATTCACACATGGCAATTCAATTGTATTTAACAAATGGATTATTGATAAATCTGAATAGAGGACAAAGCATTGTGTAGGAACACCCAGAATCCCCCATAAGCGAGGCATACTAAAGTGTAACTAAGCAAGTAAGTAGAAAAGGATATTCAAATTGTAAATAGGACTCTTCGTTTACAATTGATTCGTATTTGAATTCATTCGTTTTGACTCAGATTCTGAAATTATGCGTTATCCATGGAAGATATAGAAACGGAAATACATAGAGAACGGCGATGAGGAATCGTAATCACACACACGAAAAAGCTTTAATTAATTTAATTACAACAAAAGGAAAATCATAAGAATGTACTACAAGTTATTGTAATAATCATTTTTGATATCATTCCATTGTAGATACCTATTTGAGCCAGCAAAAGTAATTAATTCATTAATTATCTTACCGCTAAGAGTCGTCAATGTCGCCTAATGTGAGTTATATATATATATGTATTTATAATATATATATTTCGCATCGGATTATACAATAAACAGAGCGTAATTAGCTGTAAAAACCAAACAACTAATTAAACAAACACAGAAAACAGAGGAAGCCTAGGAAAACAACCGGAAACCAAAACCAACACACACACTCAACACACACACACACTTGAACACTAAGCTTTTATAAAACTATTTAACGAAAAAAAAAAATATATATATATATACTATGGAAAATAATAATCCTGCCAAGTAACATTCGAAATACCTGCTTTGAAGAAGACACACCCGCTTTTGCTAAGAAAACGAAAACAAAAACAAAGAAAACCAAACATAAAGATTTAATAAATGAAAGAAGTTCGAAAGAAGACACACTACCGCTAAATACGATTTTTATACTTTCGATATAATGATTTTTTATACTAAAACAAAAAAAGAAAAGCAAAAAGAAAGCATAAAAACAGAAAACTCTTTGAAACGAGCCAGGTGTTGAGGACTTTTTCGGGGTATCGCTTTGATTTTTGAGTCGGGAAAAAAGCTATAGTTATATTATATATATAATATTCAGACATTATATATATGTATGTGAGGAGGAGACCCTAAAACTGCAACTATGGAACGAGAGCACAAATTTTGTTGTAAACCAGAAATCAAATACTAAAAAAACCGTTTTTTAAGTCCAACTTTCAACACACACTTTACACACACATGACACACAACAGCAACATAAAATCAAATATATACTAAATATATAAAAATTGTATGTATATATTTAGCTAAATAAACAAACAACCCGCACAAATTGACATCTAAATATGCTTTGTAAGCCCAAAAATTAATAAAACTATAAAAAAGCAAAGAAAGCCAGCAAGCAACGAGATTTCTAGCGAAAAATGTCCACAAACTTAGAGCCTGCGACAAACCAAAACAATTTGTAAATATTATATACTTTTTGATTTGATCACAAAAAACAAATGAAACACAAACACTAGCATCATTTCGAGAACCTTAGTTTTATCCACCAACTGTTGCGACACATACTTTTTCTATATCTATCCAGAGATATCGGATATGCATACTTAAAACCAAAATGAACAATAAAATTAGCAAAACTACAAAAAAACCAAAAAAAAGAATATAAAAAAGAAGGTAATTAAATATTAGTGCAATAATAAATAACAAATTATTCGGTATATAATTATAAAACGGAAATACATCTAAGAGTAAACGCTTTGTAAAATACATATAAACAATTTATTAAAAAACAAAAACCAAGAAGAGGAAAATGAAATGAACACTATTGAGTAATAAATAAAGCGTTATGCATTGGACATTGACACACGTGATTCGAATATCTCATCTTATTAAGCATAAATCAATAAGATAACGAATAAAGAAATAAAAATTCAAGGAAATACAAAACGAGGATCTTTCTGCGTCCGAAAAAGTTTTTATAATTTCACTTTAAATCTAAATTGAACACAATTCCTTCAACGAATTACATTTATTTAACATTTAAAGATTGGCATTGCTTTTACAGATACTATATTTTACTTTACACTTAAACAAATAGTAGGGCCTTACGGCTGCTCCATGACAGTGCGCACGTATTTGAGAACATCTGGGTGGGCCAGAATCTTCATGTGATCGACGCCCTGGAGGGCCAGAGTATTGATATGGGAGCTGCTATATCCCGACCAGTATTGGCAGGCGCGCAGGGAGCGCTGATTGACGGTGCCGTCGCCCAGGCCCATGATAAGTTTGGGCGTCTCCCCCGATATATCCGACTTTTTGTACTGCAATCTGTGGTTTACCTATTAGCCCTTTAATTGGTAAAGAAATCTTAGAAGAACTTACCTCTCTACCGTATCGATACCATCCCCGTACAGGCAATGCAACTCCACATCCGGCGGACTAAAGTTCTGCGTGTATCGCATCGTATCCTTGCGCATTTCCCAGCCAGTCATATAATCAAGGTCGTAGAAAAAGTCCTGGAGCTGTGCCATCGTATAGTTTCTGCTCGGCGTCATGGCCAGCACCTCGGACGGTTTCCAGAACAACGGCGATGGCAGTAGCCAGGCGGTCGAGGGATGTGTTATCTGCTCTGCTTTGAGGATTTTAGCACTCAAGGCGAACGAGTCGAGATCATCGCCCATGGCAAACACCTTCACAGCCTTTATACTGCCGGCCCAGGCGCCCGCCAAGCTGATTTGCCGCCTCACATATTTGTTTTTCCACGCCAGAGTTTGCTCCTGCAGGAAGACCAGCGTCATGGGGCTGCCCATGCTGTGGGTGATAAAGGTGACGGCCGACTGGTTGTTGGCCTCGTAGGTGTCCTCCACCAATTGCTTGAGATCGATGAAGAATTGCTTATTTTCATCTGTAATTTAGAATTGTTTTTAAAAGAAATATTTTACTTTAAAATTAAGGGCTGACTTACTCGGCGCCTTGCGGAAATCGTAAGGTGCTCCATGGATATTCAACCGGCGCACATAGCCCATGTCCACCAGAACATTGGCAATGTCCTTGAAGTAGGCCCCAGCACTGTTCCTCGTGGGATCGATCCACTCCACCACCTCGGGATCGCCCCAGCCGGGAATCCGGGTCTCCACTCCGGGCGTATTGTGTGTGGTTCTCGTGGCCTTGTCGTAGTACAACTTGACGTTGTCTATCCAGCAGTAGACCATGGGTATAACAAGCTGTTCCAGATCCAGCCAGAGATTGTACCAATCGTGGGTCTTCTCGCACACAAAGTACGGGGAATTGTTCTTGTTCAGCCGGGCATCCAGCTGGGAGCCGCCATCGCCAGGAACTGGTAGTATACACAAGAGTAAGTAGTGACCTTGAGGGAAATATTGATTTTTTTTGTTGTTTTCTTACCAAAAATCACAGGCGAGAGCTTGGGCGGGGGTGGCGGCGTAGGAGGAGCGTTGTCCTTGTGCTTTTTAACAAACGGCCAGGGCCAAAAGCAGTCGCCCAGGCCCACAAAAGTGGCCAGGATTAGCAGCACCCAAAATATACCCGAGTTGAGCCTCATTGTGCAAAGTGTGAGATGTGCGTTTGCAGGCAAACAAAGCCGGAGTGACGCCTGATGGAGGGGTTATCGGATCGCGCCACTCGAGATAAAGGTCTGGGACATAAACAAGTGAATCACAGCCTGCAGCCTGTAATGAAATTACAGTTGTCTCTGAAATTTGACCTTTGCGCGTATTTCTTTTTTGCGGAAATCCGGGGCAGCAGCAAGTGGCTTAATCGCATATCATGGCCCCCCACACGGCGACGGCGACGTCACGAGCGCAATGTTAATGTTTAAACAAAGAAACGTTTTTCGTAAACATGTTGTTGTTATTTTTTTCTTATCTTTATTTCGCAGTTTGTTATGGTCTAGCTAGAGGTGGCAAAAAATTCGATATTTTTGCTATCGAATATTCGATTTGTTTCGCCATTTTGATTACTGGGAAAAATTGTATAAAATGTTATGACCCTCAAAAGGTCCTGCGTGTGCAGCCATCGGCTTGGGCCATGCCTCGGCTAGCTCCCCCTCAGGCATGGGTTCTTGGCCCGGCCCACTTACACACGTAACAGATAAATTTTTCTTTTTTTTTTTTTTAAACATCCCGCCATAGACGAGACGTTACACAGCACTAATACTTGCACAACTTCGAACTGAACGAAACATTCACCTAAACGACACATACATACTCAGAAACGATCAGTCATCTGGGAGACTCCTGGATGTCCTTTGGAGCTCCCCTGCCTTTCCCTCCCATCCTTTGCAGGCTGCTGGCAGGAACTGTTTATGCAGCTGCCCCTATTTCAAAATTAACGCACCTTCAATCACCTCACGCCATAGTTCTCTTCCTCCTCCCCAAAAAGAAAAAGGACTACTTTATGCTCCTTTTACCCATAAATTTTAATAAAAATCATAACTTTTTCAGAATTACAAGTGTTGGTTTTTATATGTATGTTGCCCTTGTCTAACTCTTCTTTTTGTTTTTCCAAAATTTAAACAATCACAAGTAACCATATACTGCAACAAGCGAATTCCTTGGCCTACCCGTTTGAGCGCTCAAAAAGGGGGGTGAAGAATATTCCGAAAGCGAAGTCGATACTCGAACCAAGAAATCAACACAAAAACAAAAGCTAGGCAAACACAAATAAAATTATCAATAATAAATAACGAAAATGAATACATATAAATAAATAGATAAATAAATAAATAATTAAAAAAAAAAATCATAACAATAAATAAACAAATAATGGGATTATTCTGAATAACTAAATAAATATATAAAACAATGCCATAAATAATTAAAAAGAAAAAACTAAACGACCACTAACTCTAAAAAAAAAAAAAACTCTTATTGAAGCCTTGGGGTGGCTCCCGTTGCCGCCCCTTTGTAGGCGTGTCGGTCCTCAAGTAGGCGGTACTGTGCCGGCGAGGTTACGACCACAGTCGCGGGACAAAATATGGGCACACGTGCTGTTTGGATGGCCAGCCAAGACCAACGGGACCAATACGGAAACTCGACCATTTAGCTCAGTCCAAAAAAAATATATCCTGCGGCGCCAAAAAATTTGTGCGGACATAAAACAATTGCCGCGCCGGCACCAAAACTTATACGGCCACAACAGAAGGTATTGTACGCCAATAAAAACAAAAAAATAGGCGGAAAAAAAAAATTTCGCCAGGCCCGGATCCTGGCCTGGCGTTCCTCCTTTGGAACCTGGTCCTGGTCGGCTTCTATATTTAAGAACACAATATTTATATTCTCCTATCTGCCTGCCTGGTCCCTGACCACTCACCTCTATGGTTCGCCGATCCAGCTTCCCAGGTCCTTATCTTCTTGCTGTCTCACATTTTGCCTTTTCTTTTTGCTATCTTCACTTCATTTTCTTAAAACAATATTTTGGCGGTCGATTATATATTAATTTTCGGTTTTACACACCAACCCGACGGGCAGCCGTCGTCGCACCACGGTCTCGCGCTCGAAGTTTCCGTTTCGCTCAAACCTAACGGAGGCAGTGAAGATCAAAACCCACGCCATTCGAACTCCGTTAGGTTTTCTATTCCTCTTTATCGGGTTAATAACCCCTTTTCGACTCTGGCCAAGTTGGCAGCCCTACAACCTGTGCTGCCCATGCCCAACCTATCGATATTCGATACGGCGGACACAACAACACACTGACATTGGTCGACGTAAACAAAGAAACAATGGCAGTGAAAAATGTCCGTATTTCGGCTGCCACTAAAGGAAAGCATCGACGTGCAGGATTAGCGCAGGACCTTACTTCGTTCAGCGCCCAACGCGGGAGACCTCTCACGGCCCTGAGACCTTTCGTCAGTTCCGAACAAGTGCATTCCGTCCTCGTCAACGCCTCTGTCTCTCTCCGCGAGCCTACCTACTTGTTTACACATCCAGACCGCCTCAGCTAAGTATATCAACGCAACAACTAACAAAAAAAAAGAACCTAACCAGTAATAAATTAATAAATATTAACTAACAGCATAAATACCGATATCCTAAAATAAATAAATAATTAAACTAAAACAACAAACACGATAAACAAAACAAATACTGACGGAAATCCAATCATTTATTCATTTGTCTATCCCTTCTCTTACAGGTGGAATGTGGGAGGGTTACCCGGCGTGGAGTACTGTGTGTGAACTATATACAATCTGACCGCTTCATATGTATGCGTAGACACGTAAGGCGACAATACCAACAACAAAAACACTTATTTGGCACAGTCGACTATACAAAACATCACTAACAATGACGTTTGATAGTCAAGTTGCCAAATACAAAACAAAAACATAACTAACCATCCTCTCTTCTTCCCATAGGTTAAATGGACACGTACAAATTGGAACAGATGCAACTCTCTCACACATCGGAGCAGAGGTCACCGTCCTTCGCCCGGACGCAGCGCAAGGTCACCGAATATTGGGCCCTGGGTCGCCGGACGTTGTCATATCTCACCACCCGGGAAAAAGGAGGAACCAGTTATTTTTTTTTTTTTTTTTAAGCTATTATTTTATCCCTTTGTACTATTCTGCCCTACATAAAACCCCCCTTTTTAATTCTAGCTTTCCTGCTATTACTTTTTTTGGTCTTAGTCCGTTGTTTATGTCCGATGTCCATACCAACGTATCGCAAACTGATCCTTTCCGTCTGGTCAGTGTCGAACTTGGCCTTCTCCTTCTCCGGTCGCTATATGCCCTTGCATCATTGCTAGACATAGTCGCCGGGTTTACCTTTTTCTTCGTTCCTGTCCGATATTTATCCTAATTCAAATTACTAACTAAATTAAGGCTATATCACAGATTAATATCACAATTTTGGGACCTTTATCAGTCAGCTTGCGCAAATCAATCTATTTGGCTTGGCCGCATAATTGATGACTTCAAGTCTGCTTCTAGAAGCCCCGTGTTAGGACATTAATCCGTTACCTCTATTTGTTTTCTAATTTCGTTGTTTAAAGAATCAGGGATTTAGTCTAGAGACTTCGCGAGAAATCCCTGATCCTACAAACCAGGAAACTATTAGTGTCCTTTTTGTGGAGGACATAGTGTTGCTTCAAATTGGGCGCCATTACTGTTATGACCCTCAAAAGGTCCTGCGTGTGCAGCCATCGGCTTGGGCCATGCCTCGGCTAGCTCCCCCTCAGGCATGGGTTCTTGGCCCGGCCCACTTACACACGTAACAGATAAATTTTTCTTTTTTTTTTTTTTTAAACATCCCGCCATAGACGAGACGTTACACAGCACTAATACTTGCACAACTTCGAACTGAACGAAACATTCACCTAAACGACACATACATACTCAGAAACGATCAGTCATCTGGGAGACTCCTGGATGTCCTTTGGAGCTCCCCTGCCTTTCCCTCCCATCCTTTGCAGGCTGCTGGCAGGAACTGTTTATGCAGCTGCCCCTATTTCAAAATTAACGCACCTTCAATCACCTCACGCCATAGTTCTCTTCCTCCTCCCCAAAAAGAAAAAGGACTACTTTATGCTCCTTTTACCCATAAATTTTAATAAAAATCATAACTTTTTCAGAATTACAAGTGTTGGTTTTTATATGTATGTTGCCCTTGTCTAACTCTTCTTTTTGTTTTTCCAAAATTTAAACAATCACAAGTAACCATATACTGCAACAAGCGAATTCCTTGGCCTACCCGTTTGAGCGCTCAAAAAGGGGGGTGAAGAATATTCCGAAAGCGAAGTCGATACTCGAACCAAGAAATCAACACAAAAACAAAAGCTAGGCAAACACAAATAAAATTATCAATAATAAATAACGAAAATGAATACATATAAATAAATAGATAAATAAATAAATAATTAAAAAAAAAAATCATAACAATAAATAAACAAATAATGGGATTATTCTGAATAACTAAATAAATATATAAAACAATGCCATAAATAATTAAAAAGAAAAAACTAAACGACCACTAACTCTAAACAAAAAAAAAAAACTCTTATTGAAGCCTTGGGGTGGCTCCCGTTGCCGCCCCTTTGTAGGCGTGTCGGTCCTCAAGTAGGCGGTACTGTGCCGGCGAGGTTACGACCACAGTCGCGGGACAAAATATGGGCACACGTGCTGTTTGGATGGCCAGCCAAGACCAACGGGACCAATACGGAAACTCGACCATTTAGCTCAGTCCAAAAAAAATATATCCTGCGGCGCCAAAAAATTTGTGCGGACATAAAACAATTGCCGCGCCGGCACCAAAACTTATACGGCCACAACAGAAGGTATTGTACGCCAATAAAAACAAAAAAATAGGCGGAAAAAAAAATTTCGCCAGGCCCGGATCCTGGCCTGGCGTTCCTCCTTTGGAACCTGGTCCTGGTCGGCTTCTATATTTAAGAACACAATATTTATATTCTCCTATCTGCCTGCCTGGTCCCTGACCACTCACCTCTATGGTTCGCCGATCCAGCTTCCCAGGTCCTTATCTTCTTGCTGTCTCACATTTTGCCTTTTCTTTTTGCTATCTTCACTTCATTTTCTTAAAACAATATTTTGGCGGTCGATTATATATTAATTTTCGGTTTTACACACCAACCCGACGGGCAGCCGTCGTCGCACCACGGTCTCGCGCTCGAAGTTTCCGTTTCGCTCAAACCTAACGGAGGCAGTGAAGATCAAAACCCACGCCATTCGAACTCCGTTAGGTTTTCTATTCCTCTTTATCGGGTTAATAACCCCTTTTCGACTCTGGCCAAGTTGGCAGCCCTACAACCTGTGCTGCCCATGCCCAACCTATCGATATTCGATACGGCGGACACAACAAAAAAGTATACAAAAAAAAAATAATAATAAAATATCATATATATAAAATATCATTTAAATCAATTTAGTTTTTTTTTTTTAAAGAATCATCGTATTTAAGAAAATAATTCCAATAATAATGAAGAGAATACCCCTAACCAGTTATTTATCGCTTTTGATTATTACTTAGTCCATCACTAGCAAAGCCGGCAAATAAAATTGTTTTCAAGTTATTATTTTTAAGTATTAGCAACAAACAAAAATCAAACCCCAATTGAGATGCAGGATTTCTTCAGCGTGCTGCTGCCGGACGTGAAGAAGGAGCTGCGCCGCGGCATCATCGAGTGCTCGAAGCGTGGCCTCCTCCATAGCACCAAGTGGCTGGCGGAGATGCACCACGGGCTCTGCGATGTCCATATCGACAATGAGGCGCCGGACAGCGACCGGACCTTCAGCGATTGCCAGCTGGAGGGCATTGCGCCGGCGGAGTACAGCGACTACTTCCTGGCCAAGAGCTACTACGACGTGCGAGAGTACGACCGGGCGGCCCATGCGGTCCGGAACTGTGAGTCGAGTGTGCCGCGCTTCTTGCACTTCTACGCCACGTACATGGCGCGCGAGAAGCGCCGCCTGGACTCCACCACCGACCAGGCCAATCTCACCGAGCCGAATCAGATGCGGGACCTCGCCGATCTGCTGGCCACACTGCGCACGGAGTACGGCAAGAGCCGGTTAGATGGCTACGGGATCTACCTGTATGGCGTGGTCCTCAAGGCCCTGAATCTCAACCACGCCGCGGAGCAGATGCTCATCCAGGCCATCCGACTGGTGCCCATGCTGTGGGGCGCCTACCTGGAGCTCTCGCCGCTCATAATGGAGAAACAGAAGCTACTGAGCCTGCAGCTGGGCGGGCACTGGATGCGGCACTTCTTCATGGCGCACACCTACCTGGAGCTGTACCTCAATGACGATGGCTTGAAAATCTACGAGGATCTGCAGGCGTCGGGCTTTGGCAAGAGCATCTACCTCATCGCCCAGATGGCCTTGGTCTATCACAACAAGCGGGACGTGGACAAGGCCATCGAGCTGTACCAGAACCTGCTCGAGAGCGATCCCTATCGCCTGGACAACGTGGACACCTACTCGAACCTGCTGTTCGTCAAGGAGATGAAGACGGAGATGGCCCAGTTGGCCCACAAGGCGGTCAGCATCAACAAGTACCGCCCGGAGACGTGCTGTGTGATTGGCAACTACTACAGCATACGCTGTGATCACCAGGTGGCCATTTCCTACTTCCAGCGTGCCCTCAAGCTGAATCCCAAGTATCTGGCGGCCTGGACCCTGATGGGTCACGAGTTCATGGAGCTGAAAAACACGAATGCCGCGATACAAAGCTACCGCAAGGCGGTGGAGGTCAACAAGCGGGACTATCGCGCCTGGTATGGCCTGGGACAGGCCTACGAGATCATCAAGATGCACTACTACAGTTTGTACTACTTCAAGATTGCCCACCAGCTGAGGCCCTACGACTCCCGCATGCTGGTGGCTCTGGGCGAGACGTACGAGAAGCTGGACAAGTGCGAAAACGCGGTCAAGTGCTACTGGAAGGCCATCGATGTGGGCGACATCGAGGGCATTGCCATGTACAAGTTGGCCAATCTGCACGAGAAGCTGGGCGATCATGAGACGGCGGTCCATTGCTACATTATGTACTGCGAGGATGAGCGGGCGGCCACCGATAAGCAGAGCCTCTACCAGGGCTTCATCACCCTGGCCAACTACTACGAGAAGAAGGGTGACTACGACAGGGCCGCCTTCTATGCCTACAAGTGTCTGGACTCGGATGATGTGGGTCTCTTTCTAAGATAAGGTAAAACCCACAGAAGTTAACCGATTTCCTCTCTTTTTTCCAGCGCAAAACCGAGGCCAAGGCCTTGCTCAAAACCATCGATTGGAAACGGGATTGTCAAAAGAAAACTGTGAAACCCACGTCTGCTGTGGTGGCCAATGCGGAGACCAGCTCCGAGGATGAAATGGAGTGGGAGTTGCCAGACGTACGAGCCCGCGTGGCGGCCGGAACAACCACATCGTCATCAGCCCAAGCAGGTACAAGTAGTAGTTCCACGAGTAACCTGCGCCCAGGCCGAACTCTAGTCGAGGGCATGCGCCGAACGCAGTCCAGCACCAAGACGAGTCTCGCACCAACCGCTGACAACAGCAGCTCCACAACCATACCCACTCCTGGCACTTCTGCCAACGCTGCAACGGATCAGCCAGGCTCGGATGAGGCCAGTTCCATGGAAATATCCAGTGTGTCCATCGATTAGATGTGCTCGAAGGCAACAATTGTAAAAATTCCGTTTTGTTTTTATGAATTATGTAAATGTTTTCGAAGCCTAAGTAAATAGTTTGAACGAATCCAGCGAGGAGTTGCATTTGTGCTCAGGAATCAGGCCTAAAGTTGAGTGGGTTTCAGGAAGAAGAGTCTTATTGTAAAGCTAAGATTTGTAGATTTTATTTTATTTAGATAAAAACATGTTTTTTTTAACAAGGTAAACAGTTGTTCTGGGTAGAAAGTTATACAAATTTTAAGAGTTACAAAGTAATTTTATTCTCTTTCCCTCTCTCTTCTCAAAACTCCTTGATCCACTGGGCTATAATGGCCGCCTCCTTCTGCCTGGCATCGCGCACCGAAGGCGGATCAGCGGGATCAGAGTGACGCAGATCCAAGTGATGGGCGCCCTCCGGCAGGATGATCACAAACACCTTGTCATTTGGCGCCTGCAGGACACCGCCGCCGCTCCAGGGATCCAACAGACCATTGCTAAAAATGATATTCGTGACAGACTCGATGTTCCTGCCACCATACCTCAAGATGATATCATATGGCTTGGGCGTGAGCCGGTAGTTCTTGTAGCACTTCTCGGCAAACTCCTTGAAGTTCCAAGTGGAGGGGCGGAACATGGTCTCGGTGCCGTTGGAGCAGAAGGGCATCACCATTTGGTTGCAGGTCTGTATGTCCCAGCCGGAGGCATCGGCACTGGAGCTCACCGAGGTATCCAGACACTTGGCCGAGCCCGTGTAGTTGGTGTACACGGCCAGGGCACTGGCCATGGCATGCAGCAGATCGACGTCTGTGGTATGCAGATCCTTCAGGTAGAAGCACACCTGGCGCACCGGATAGGCGGGCAGGGGGGCCAGGAAGCTGCTGTTGTACGGATAGTTGACCATGGCCAGGTTGCTGTAGACCTCCTCCACGTAGTCGAGAAACTGCTTCAGATCGCCGTCGGTCTTCAGGGGCGTGCAGAGATTAAACGCCTCCGAAATCTGCTTCTTGCCGGCGTCATTCCCGCCCAGCGATTCAAAGAGTTTCCACGACCTGGCTATGTTCACGGTGCAGTTGCCATTGTAGGCATTCTGGAAGACGGAAGTGGCTATCCTGTAAAAGATGTCGCAGTCGGTGATGCCGGGGAACTGCAGAATAGGCGCCGAGGCGGCCAGAGCTCCGTGCACCAAATGGGGGTACTTCATCCTGAACCAGGCGGACAGCATGCCGCCGTAGGATCCTCCGAAGGCCACCACCGGCATCTGGCGATCGTTCTTCAAGAAGGTGATCAGCATGGCGTAATCCTCCAGCGTTTGCTCCACCGTAAAGTAGGCCAAGTGCTCTGGCATGCTGCTGTTGAAGGTGGAGCTGCCAAAGGGCAGGGACTTGCCATAATAACGATGCTCCGCGAAGATCACCAGAGCCCGCTGCAGCTGTGCCTGCTCCCAAAGAAATCCGGTATTCTGGGCGAAGAGTTCGATGTCCCCCTCGTTTCCGGTGTAAAAAAAGATGGGTGTGCGGGCATTGCTCTTGTCCACGAACGAGTCGTTGTACAGATACCGGATGTTGAAGGTGGCGTTGATCAGGAAGCTGAAGTGATCCAGGGGCACCTGGAAGTCCTTGATCTCGTACTGATAGCGCCTCTCCTCCCCCGTCAGGTGACACTGGCATCCAGCGATCACAAGGATCAGTAGGATCCCCCAAACTGCAGGCACAGCCCCTTGCTCCCTCATTCTGCTGGAGATCAGATTAAATCGGACGAGAAAATACGACTGACGCACGGGAGGGGTCAAACGGCAGTTTTCTCTGTTCTTCTTTATCTCTAAGCCGGGCTTTTTATACAGTGTTGAAAAATCTCAAATATATCGTCGAGTTCCTTAGCGTTGCCAGACTCGAATATATCGATATATCGAATGTGCCAAGAAGAAGTCGAAAATCAGCTGTTTTTTGTTTTGGCCCAAAAAGTTGAGAACCTATCAAAATGATTAGAAAATTAGTATTTAACGCGAAAGTTGTATTAAAACAGCAGCCCAAAGTGAGTTCGAAGAAAGCAACATCATTCCAGTTTTCAATTCATTCATAATTTTGCAGTTTCAACTTGTAAAACACCTAGCAACCAATAGCGAAAGTCCAAAGATTGTGCAACTGCAACAGATTCACATAGATGAAGCCGTCAAGCTGGAGCCCAATCTGTCCATATTCACGTCCGAGGTGTGGCGGCGGGCACACGAGACCTTTCAGAATCACGGCTTGGAAACGGGGAACTTCCTTCGCATTGTCACCGGAAATCCGGGCGTGCTAAGGCGAACGCCGGACAAGATAATCAACAGTTTGGAAATCTGGCGAGCCTGCCAGTTTGGCGAGAACCTGCTCCACCTGCTGCTCACCAAATATCCCGAGCTACTGGACGTCAGCGACTCCCACCAGCTGCTCTCCCACATTGGCTTCCTGAAGAGTCGCGTTTCCACAAGCAAGAATGTGTGGAAGCTGCTGATGAACAGTCCAGATGTGATAGCCCAGCCGGAGGAAGTCGTCGAGGAGAAGCTGAATCTAATGGTGGATGTCATGCGCCTTGAGGTCCCCGAGATTGTCAAGTCCTGCGCCCTGACCCTGCCCTTCGAGGAGCTGCGCTGTCGCCACGCCTTCCTGTTGCGATTGGGCTTGTTCAAGCCGCGTCCCCTGAAAGCGGATCCCGACGAGCCCACGACCAACCCGAAGCTCTACCAGATTACGGACACCTCGGAGAAGACCTTCGCCACAAAGATCTGCCATGTCACTCTGCCGGAGTTCGAGGCCTTCAAGGAACTGTACGCCAAGGAGCTGGAGGGAAAGTCCAGGCGTTCCAAAGAGGCTGAAGATCTTAGCGATGATGAGGATTAATCTGGGTTACGGAAAATAAATTGTTAAATTGTCTTTACAATTTTAAATCAAGTTACGGTTTGAAATTTGGTTTGAAACTTGGATAAGCAATCGAATATGTAATTTTTGGCTTGAAAAATGGGTGACCAAATAATCGATATTAGGATTATTTATCTTTTTTCCACCTCTAGCTACATATTTCTCGGAGTAAAAGATTAAAAAATAAAACAAAGCAACCCGCCGCAAGTTAAAATGGAAGTGTGTTAACAACTATGTAAGTTACAAGGCGGCATTCATTCAGAGAGTCGGTGCAAAAACGTTTTCCAAGGTTTTTCTTGATATTTTTATTTGTGATTTTCTATCTTTGTTTGTGGGTAAGTGCGCGGATGCGTCTGTGTGTGTGTGCGTGTGTGAGTGCGAGCGGGACGGCACCACTCGGAGTAGCGGTTGTCAAAAACAGCTGATTTTGGTTCGGTCCAGGTCTGTGTCAGGGGGTGTAGTGGGGGGCATGGGGGAGTGGTGGCCAGCACTCACCTGTAAGCTTTCGCTGCCAAAAAAAAATATTTTGGGATAAATAATTTAAGAAAAAAGGGTGGAAATTTAATTTAAATTAATATTTTATTTATTATTAAATTTTTTTATTTTACTTCTTTTTAATTTTCAAAATTTGGTTAATTTGACATTTCTATCATGACAGTTTCTTGGTGTCCTGTCAAAACAGCTTAAAACTAACTTTATCCTTTACTTTCTTCACCTTTTCCAGCTGCTTTGAGGGCAATCCTGCTCGTAACTACTTGTAACTCCCCTTGGTCCTGCAGCATGCCGCTCATCGAAGTGGGCTCCTCCGCCGCTCCCGGCGGAGTTTATCCGGAAAATGGCACCAAGCAGCTCCACACCAAAACCACACAGAGCCTGGCCAAGCCGGAGGCCAGCTTCAATTCCGAACCGGCGGCGGCAGCGGGATCGCTGCTCTCTCTGTTCAACTTGCAGGGCCAAAAGTGGCAGCAGGTCTTTGACTTGGACAAGGTCATCAAGCAGCTGCGAACGGCGGAGAAGACATATTTGAGGGGTGGGAAGAACTCCAGCACTGCTGCTGCTGCTGCAGCCGCTGCCGCCGCAGGAGGGGGAGATCAGCAACAGCAGGCGAAGGTGCAGGTGCAGCGCCTGCAGTCGGCGGACATGGCTTACTATGACTTGGTGCCAAAGCTGGCCTCGCGGGATATAGTGCTCTGCGGATCCTGTTCGGGCAGCTACACGAAGGCAGGGTTCCAGCATCACATTGCGCTGCAGCATCCCAGCGTTTGGGAGGCCACATCCAGCAAGGTCGTCAGCCCCAATGGAAATCATGCCATTGCCGGGGCGGGCGGCGGCGACGCGCGTCTCACTGCCACGGAGAGTCACAACAGCCAGGAGGCTGGCGGAGTAGGAGGCAGCCTTGTGGCCCACTCGCCCACGGACACGCTGCTGTCTGCCTCAACCCTGTCTAGCTGTTCCAATGGATCGAGCAGCTCGGCCTCGCTCCAGCATCCAGCTGGCACCTCATCGTCCTCGTCCTCTTCGTCGCGCCACAAGAGCAGCAGCAGCAAGAGTAGCAGTTCCTCCTCCTCCAAGGGCAGCAGCGGCGGCGGCGGCGGTACCTCCTCTTCCTCCGGTGGTAGTCGGTCACGCTCCAAGTCATCGAAAAATCGGCACCACTCGTCACCGGCACCGGCGGCAGCGGAGCACAAGGAGTCCAAGGGATCGAAAAAGAGCGGGGGCAGCAGTGCCATAGCAGCTCCTCCAATTGTGGCCGCTGTCAAGGAGGAACCTCCAGCTGCAGCCACTGCCCCTGCCATTACAGTCTTCTCCTCTTCCAGCAACTCATCCTGCAGTCTACCGCCTACGCCCGCCGCCGTGGCTGCCAGCGATTTGGGGACGGGTCTGGGGGTCAATAGCTACTCACCTGCAGAGGCGGAAAAGCTGCCCGAGCTGCAGCCAAGGAAAAAGGTGAGGAATATCTTTAGTTTTCTTTGTGAAAATAGCTTTAAAATCCTGCTTTCCAGCTAAAGGGCTCCAGCGACCATCGAACAAAAGCGGAAAGGGAGAAGAATAAAGAGAAAGCCTTGGTGAATCCTTACGAGCAACAGCAGCAGGTGCTCAGCGAGCTAGACCAGGCTGTCTCCTCCATCACAGCGGGTGCTCTAGTCGAGCAGCAGCAGGTGGTGGCGCCGAATGAGGATGATGAACTGCCTCTGCCCAACACCTCCGACGAGAACTCCATTTCCCAGACTCTCGACGAGATGCTGGACAGCAAGCTGATCAACGAGATCCTCAACAACTTTGATGAGAGCGCCTTGGACACATCCCAACAACAACAGCAACAGCAGCAGCAGCCGTCGCAAAATGGAAATCCTCTGCCGCATCCCGCTCAGGCCACCAAAAGACTGCGCTTTGAGGACGCCACCGACACGGGCGAGGGCTATGCCAGCTATCCGCAGGTCTATGCGGCGGCCGCGGAGGAGGAAGACCAGCAGCAGGAGCTGACCACCATTGATGCAATGCAGCTGCAGCAGCTGATATATCAGCAGCAGCAAATGCTGGATCAGCAGCAACAGCAGGAGCAGCAGCAGCAGCAGGATCAGAAGCTGCTGCAGGATCAGGAGCAGCAGCGCCAGTTCAGCGTCTACAATGTGCAATCGTTGACGGACGAGGCTTTGGCCCATCCCCAGCAACAGCAGCAGCAGCTGGAGGAGCACATGATCCTGCCCAGCATCATATACGAGATCAGCGACTCGAATCCCGTCTCGATGCTGGAGCAGCAAAAGGTCATAGCCGAGTTCCTAACTCAGGCCGGTTACGAGAACGTGGATGTGAATGTCCTGGCCCAGACGGCGGGCACCGGCATGGAGTCGGCTACCAGCCACAACCACTTGGCGGATGAGCTGAGCGACTTTGAGTTCAGCAAACTGGAGACTGTTAGCGACACCGTTAAGACTGTTAAGCTGGAGGCCACCACCGGCGGCCCAACCAGCCAGCCTCCTCAGGTCAACCATCATCACCACCACCACCACTCATCGCTGGAGGACAGCTTCTTCAATGTGATGCTGTACTCGGGCTCACCGCGACCCCTGGCGCTGAACACCTTCGGCATGGTCAAGCTGCCCCAGGGTCTGGGTGTCACCTTCCGCAAGAATCTGCTGACCACGCGGAAGGCCAACAACAGTTTGCTCTCCCTGACGGGCGGCAGTCACCTCGGAGTAGTTGGCCAGCTGGCAAGACCCCCGCCGCCGCCGGCATCCAACACATCCTCGCCACTAAGCAATGGCTTGCCGGCCAAGAACTCTTCGGCTGGGAGGACCATTTATGCCCAGAGATCGAGCGTGATTGCCCAGGATCGGTTGCGATGCAATAAGAGGGCGCTCCTGGCGCCAGTGGGTAAGATCGGAGAAGGGGGGCCCATGACGCCCAAGCGCCTGAATGAGCTGCTAATGGGTAAGCAGGTGAAGAAGGAGGCGGCGGAGAGGGAGAGCGAGGAGGCAGATCAGCAGGAGGAGGACAGCAGCAAGCAGCTCACCCACAGCTTCTACGAGAAGCGTCGCCGCCTGCTCCGCCCGCTCCAGAGCCACCACAATGCCAGCCAAAGTTATAGCCACAGCCACTCGCCACAGCAGCAGCAGCAGCATCTCCTGAAGAAGCAGCTCCTGCGCACCCTGTCCGATGGCAGCAGCAACATGAACATCAGCCACACTCCCAGCGCCAACAGCAGCAGCAGTAATCCCCCCTGGAAGGGAAACAGCTCCAGCTCCAATCCGGGAGGCAGCAACTCCAGCTCCACTCCAACCAGCAGCGACTTGATGCGCGTCTTTGTCGGATCTTAGTCCCTGAGACTCGCTGGCATGCACGCAACCCCAATTATACATAAAAACAATCGATTTTAAGTTTAGTTTTTTTAAATCTATTTTAAATTAATTATAAATATGATTTTTTCATTTTTTTCAAGTGATAATTAGTTACCGATTACTTAGTTGATTGTATGTAGTTTTCCCGTTTAGTCTACGCACTAAGTTTAGTTTAAAAATACGTATTTTACGGATATATATTATTTCTGTAATGCATTATTTATAAAACGCTGTATACTTTTAAAAAATAATACAAGAGCATGCCTAAGTTCAATATAATTGCGAAACTAGTGTCTTGGGGATTATTTTTCAAGGGAATTGGGAAAATGAGAGTGATTTCTACAGCAACAACCATTTTTACATCTCCATCGCCACAGGTGTGGCGCCGGGCACACAGACCTTTCAGAATCACGGCTTGGAAACGGGGAACTTCCTGCGCTAAGGCGAACGCCGGACAAGATAATCAACAGTTTGAGAACCTGCTCCAGCTGCTGCTCACCAAGTATCCCGAGCTACTGGACGTCAGCGACTCCCACCAGCTGCTCTCCCACATTGGCTTCCTCAAGAGTCGCGTCTCCACAAGCAAGAATGTGTGGAAGCTGCTGATGAACAGTCCAGATGTGATAGCCCAGCCGGAGGAAGTCGTCGAGGAGAAGCTGAATCTAATGGTGGATGTCATGCTCCTTGAGGTCCCCGAGATTGTCAAGTCCTGCGCCCTGACCCTGGCCTTCGAGGAGCTGCGCTGTCGCCACGCCTTCCTATTGCGCTTGGGCTTGTTCAAGCCGCGTCCCCTGAAAGCAGATCCATCCTCCATCATCCACCATCCATCCTCCCTCTGCTGGCTACTATTGATGAATTGTCCATTGCCAACTCTGTTTATTTAATATATTTAATTTAAAAAAAAAAAACAACAAATTAACAAAAACGATAAAACAATAACTGTAATTAAAGGGAAATTTAATTGTTTACGACCATCGCTCTGGACGGAAATTTGAGAGGCTGCACCAGTAGTTAAACTGAGGTTTTATGATGTCCTCGGACCCATGAATCTCCTCTGGCTTCGAGAGATCAAAAGGCAGACCTATTTCAATGGGTAACTTGCGCCGCATGCTTTTGTTGGCCTGCTCTCGGCGCACCTGGTCAGCAATGCACTGGATCACCTCTTTGGTGGGCTGCCCGTAGCCAAAGATACTCAGGTGGCTGAGCCTGGGACAGGATATGAACAGGTCCAGGATGGCAGCATCGCTATTGCCCTTGTAGTTGAAGCAGATTTGCTCCAACTTCTTGAGATTGGAAAACTCCCTCAGCACAGGCTCTTTCACGCCATACCAGATGGGCAGGATCAGTGTGCGAAGGCCGATTAGCTTGGAAATTTGGGACAACTGCTCCCTGGGCAGCGGATTGGCACAATCAAACTCTAGATACTCAAGGAGCTCTGCCTTGTGCTCCACCAGTTTCTCGGTGAGCCTTGCTCCGGTGGTACTTGTGCCGTTCTTCGAGTGTATGGTGAGGCTCTTGAGGCTGGGCAGTTGTGCCAGGACCTCGCAATTGCTGTACTCGCATGGCGATAGCCTGAGCATTTCCAGCTTGGGACAACAGTTCTTTTTGACCATCGTTTGGCACATCTTATCCGTGACATCCCCCAGATTAAGCTTTCGCAGCTCGGTAAAGTGCTTGATGATCATTGGTAAGTTCTGCACACGGAAGCACTTTCCCAAGTCCAACTTCTCAATGGTGGTGGGCATGCTAAGCATGGTGTCCTTGGACAGGACTTTGCGCCCCAAATAAAGGGAGATCAGATTGCGGCAGTAGACTGGAATGAAGCGGAACCGCTCGTCAGAGTCCATCATGGGCAACATGCACTCCAGGTCCTTTATCTGCCCGCCAGATAATTCGTAAAAGACCCGTATATCCCACAGGGTCAGTTTGTAAAGGTCCTGGATATCCCCGCTGCACAAATGACAAATGTCTGCAATGTCCCATTGATTCATTCTGAAGAACTGGCGAGTATTCACGGAGGAGTACAGCCGGGCGGTGGCCATTTGGTAGATAGCCCGGAAGCGCTGGCAGGTCCGGGCGAATCGCAGCCTATCGCGCAGCTTTAGGAACGGCAGGATATCCAGCCAGCAGTCGTTGTTTAGCTTCAAAATGGTGGCCTCCTGTGGTTGCTCCTGCTTCTTGCCGTAGGCATCCGGCTGAAGCCAACTATAGCTGGGCTTCACCTGGAACTGGTTGCCGTCTAAAGAGTGTGTAGGAATTTCCAAGGCTCTAGAATTCATTTTGGAAAAGACAATGAAATTTTAAGGGTAATAGGAAGAGATCTCTCACTTACTTTGCTGCATCCTTGGGGTTGGCAAACAACACCTCGCCAGCCACACAGGGCACTGGGTTCATCGACTCCCTGACCACCTGAATACCTGACACTCGACCGAATTTACTAAAATATGTCATTAAAATGTCCTTCGTTAGCTGCGAAAAATATATAAAAAATCAACTAAAGATCAGGTTCAATCAGCACAGGGACTATACCTGCAGAGGCACCGAAGAAAAGTGCAGTTTTTTAATCGAAATATCATCTTCTGTGTAGGCAACCAAGTCACGAATGTAATAGCTTCTACCTACTAAAGGAAGGAGGTTACACTTTTGAGACCTGGCCTTAGGCTAGTTCGTCCTTTAACTTACATGGTTTCAAGAAATGACCGCACATGTTGCTCATCTTCCTGGCCTTTATTAGAAAATTTACCAATACAAAATTACATGAATATTCTAACTACTACTGAAAACTAAAAATGTAATTTGATTTCTGATGTTTGCTACATGATAATACTACTGGAAATACAAAGATGCCTACGTATTAAAGTCAGGGATTGTAAGTTACAGAGGTTTTAAATTGGAACAAAGCCAAAGAAGGTAATTACTATTTTCTATTTAATTTATTTATTATAATGGTTGAATTAATAATTACTTACAAGTTCTGGTGATCCTGGTAGTTAGTATCCAATAGCATCTAGTCACAAATCCTGCGCAGGATAACCGGTATATCCCGATTCATCCTTAACCACAACAAGAAAAAGCCCCGGAATCTCAGGATATCCCAAAAAAAATGCATTTTTTTTAATAGAATAATAATAATTTTATTTATTATTTTCTATTCGTTTCTCTAAATACTATATACCTTAAAATATATTTAATAAAACAATTTAAAGGAACAAGGATCCTTGAGAAACTCCCCTTTTTCATTCACCATTGAAAGCCTTTTTAGAAAATCTACTCTTCATAGTCGCAAATGTCTCCAGCTCTGCACCCAATTTTGTTGATTTAAAATAAGAGTATTTAATCTAAGAAGTAAGCCAAAACCTATTTTTTATTTTTATTTAATCATTTTAAATTTAAAAATTTCTAGCTACTGTTATACGAGGCTCTTTCGTCGGTATTAATCTTTTATACAAAGCTCTTTTGTTGGTATTAATCACTTTAGTCCGTTATGGTCACACAGCTGCCGGCGTTTTTTTTATACAGCTATGCAATTAGTTTTTGTGCCATTTATGCCCTGATCCTGATTATCCTTTTGACGAAATGCGTACGCCTAATGCGCACCTGCTCCTCCTCGCTGTCCTGCCTCACCTCCTGACCGTGCAGGGAACCCTCTCCCCCGATAGCCAGAAATCAAAGGGCAGAAAAGAACCAAATGTGCTGCGTGGCCCCCAAGACAACGATGTCTTCGACCTGGGACTGGTGAGCCCGGAACCCCTGGCCAAGGACATTCTGGCGAATCATAGGGCGTACTTCAAGGAGACGGGCTTGAGGCGCTTCAATGGCACTACCTTGGGCTATGTGACGCCGGTGAGTAGGAGACCACCACATCTCGAATTTGTGCATTCGTTGCATTGTTTACTTTAATTCGCAGTGGAACTCCCACGGCTATGATGTGGCCAAGATGTTTGCCAAGAAGTTCGACATCATTTCGCCGGTGTGGCTGCAGGTGGTGAAGCAGGGCAATGGCTATGCCATGGCCGGTACCCATGACATTGACGCCGGCTGGCTGACCGATGTCCGCAGGAAGGGAAAACAGGCTCACAATCAGCGGACGGTGAAGGGTATACCTGAAGCCGGATATACATATGTTAATCCCTGATCTTAATCCTTGTGATTTTCAGTGTTTCCCCGGTTTATATTTGATCACTTTACTGATCGCGACATCAAGCTGCTGCTCAGCGATGCCCAGGAGAGGACCAAGGTCAACGACGTGCTGATCAAGTGCTGCAAGGATAATGGTTTTGATGGGCTGGTCTTGGAAGTGTGGTCTCAGCTGGCAGGGCGTATAGATGACAAAATCCTCTACGCCTTGGTCCTGCAAATGGGTGGGTTTTCCCTTGATTCTGTTCTATATAAACTCCAGCTCATCCTCTTTTTTCTTGCTCTTTAGCCAAGGAGTTTCAAAAGCAACAGCTGCGCCTTATCCTGGTGGTTCCCCCCTTTCGCAAGGACACGGGCAATCTTTTTGGCGAAAAGCACATGGACAAGCTGTACAAGCACATATTCGCCTTCTCGCTGATGACCTACGACTTCTCCAGCGTCCAGCGTCCTGGGGCTAATGCTCCTCTGTACTTTGTTCGCAAGGCGGTGGAGACCATTGCCCCCCAAGGATGCCCCGATATGGAGGCAAAGCGAGCCAAGATTTTGCTGGGCCTGAATATGTATGGCAATGATTACACGCCCGATGGCGGCGGACCCATCACCTTCTCCCAGTACTTGGATCTGGTCAAACATGTGAAGAAGCACTTGACCTACGACGAGCGAGATGTGGAGAATTTCTTTGAAGTCAAGTGAGTTTTTTGATATTTACTACTTTATATGCAAGGATCTGAGTTTTATTATTCTTTTTTTAGAAACGAAGACGGTCGCCACATAGTGTTCTATCCCACTTTGTACTCCATTAATGAGCGCATCAAGCTGGCCCAGGAGCTGGGCACTGGCATTTCCATCTGGGAACTGGGCCAGGGACTGAACTATTTCTACGATCTCTTTTAAACTAGCTTTTAGGGGGGCATGCAATGCACAAGCAACCAATATTCCAGAATAAACAGTCCGCTAAAGTGGCTAAAGCTTGTAATTTTATTTAAAAATAAAGAATATCTTAAAAAATTGCTGTCTTATTGATTTATTTTATTTTATTCATTGTTCTATTTTATTTATTTATTATTATTTTTTTTGTTTATTTATTTATTATTATTTATTTAACATATAACGAATTAAAAAGAAAGTAAAATAATTTCGGAAAGCCGAGCTTTGTATACCCTTGCAGTTTTCCATAGGATCATGGTATCGTATCAAAAATCAATCATAACTAAGCCAAAAAACCATCAAATTCAATTCGGAAAGCTTTTCTGTGCTAGTTTTTTCCAGGTTAACAAAACTGCATACAAAATTTTTAATTTTAAGAAATAAAAATTTTAGGCCATTTTTCAAATTTTAATAATGTAAAATGGCTCAAAGTTAGATTTCTTCCGGACATGGCTAGAAAGAAGCGCCTGCTTATGCTGATCAAGAATATATATGGTTTATAGGGTCGGAAATGACTGCTTCACTAAATAAAATAAAAATAACCTTTAAGAAGACCCAAAAAATATCAACATTTTTTAATGGATATTTCCCATATTTTTTGATCATTTTTTGAACAAATCAAAGTTTAAAAATCACAAAACTTGGCCAAATGCAATTCAGAAAACTATTCGATCTAGTTTTATTAAGTTGATTATTATAATAATTTAACAAATACAAAATATATAATAAATAATTATAATATATAAAGACAATAACAAATAAAATTAAATTTTATATGGTAATTTTTTTTAAATCTAAAACTTAAAAATATCATAACTTTGCCAAAAATGCATTAATTTCAATTCGGAAAACAGTTCTGTGCTATATTTTCTAAGATTAATAAATCTGCATACCAAATTTAATTTTTTAAAGAATCAAATTTTTGGTCAAATTTTGAAAAAAATCATGATGTAACCCCTTTCATTTTTTTGCAAAAATGGCTCAAAATTAGATTTCTTCCGGACATGGCTAGAAAGAAGCGCCTGCTTATGCTGATCAAGAATATATATGGCTTATAGGGTCGGAAATGAATGCTTCACTAAATAAAATAAAAATAACCTTTAAGAAGATCCAAAAATATCAACATTTTTAAGGGATATTTTTTATATTTTATGTTTAACTAGAAAGGAAGCTAACTTCGGCACGCCGAAGTTTGTATGCCCTTGCAGATATTATTTTATTACATTTTAACTATACTTATTATGTTTACAGTTTGATAGTTACAGTTACATTCCTAGCTTTACAAGTTGCCATTTTGTCCCATTAATGCAAAAAAGCTAGATGAGCATCACTGGCAGTTAGAGAAATGCCATTTTGTCCCAATAATGCAAAATAGCTAGATGAGCATCACTGACAGTTAGTGAGAAATAAATGCAAATAATGCAAAATAGCTAGATGAGCATCACTGGCAGCTAGTGAGATGCAATTTTCTACCAATAATGCAAAAAAATAGCTAGATGAGCATTACTGATGCACATGAGCATCACTGCCATTAAGACCGACTTTATTGCCCCCCAATATTGAAATATAGCCAGATGAGCATCACTGATGGAAGTGAGCATCACTGACGGAAGTGAGCATCACTGACGGAAGTGAGCATCACTGATGGAAGTGAGCATCACTGATGGAAGTGAGCATCACTGATGGAAGTGAGCATCACTGATGGAAGTGAGCATCACTGATGGAAGTGAGCATCACTGATGGAAGTGAGCATCACTGATGGAAGTGAGCATCACTGATGGAAGTGAGCATCACTGATGGAAGTGAGCATCACTGATGGAAGTGAGCATCACTGATGGAAGTGAGCATCACTGATGGAAGTGAGCATCACTGACGGAAGTGAGCAAAACTTTTCATTCGATTTGGCCGCTTTCCAAACTGGGGTAACAGGCGAACAGAAACCAGCAGCAAGCAACTGAAAACTGGTATAAACTGTTATAAAAACGTTTGGGCAAAAATAATAATTGGTATAAACTGTTATATTTCATTTTATGCGTTTATACCTATATGTTGCCGACAACAACAGCTTGATAGCAACAACAACCTTTGTACAACAACATCCCTACAGCAGCCCATCCAAATTTCCGAACATTTCCATGCAAATTGCCCGTTTCCCAAATTGGGGTACCAGGCGAACAGAAATCAGCAGCAAGCGACTGAAAACTGGTATAAACTGTTATAAAAAGTCCAAGTTTCAAACCATTTAGGAGCAAGCGCAAGTTAGCGGAGACTCAAACCTTTTGAATCTATATTTAGGTGTTATTTTACAACTGCACCTGGGCACACTGAAACTGATCGTCGATAAATTCAAATTTGTCAGTTAAATTCAAATTCAAATTTGGCAGTTACAACATTTAAAAAAATGTAACAAATTCTAAAAAAAAATTCTAAAAAATCTGAAAAAAATGTTAAAAATTCAGACAAAATTTTAAGAATTCAGAAAAGTTTTAAATATTTAGAAAAAAAATTTTAATTTAGAAAAATTGTAAAACATCAGAAAAAAAAGTTTAAAATTCAGAAAAAAAATTTAAAAATTTAGATTTGGCTTTTAAAATAATTAGATTTTTCCCCAAACGATCCCAAATAAATGCCGCCTTCTCCAAACAATTGCACATTGAATTCACCATCTTTTATTGATTCATATTTGTGTGTCAATTACATTTACATATTTAAATTGTATTTATAAATATTTTAATTATTTACGCCTTCTGCAGGCTTTCATATAGCCCGGAGCCAAGATCTGATCACCGTCCTCTACTGCCATCCGGTTAAGGTCTGTCAGCTCGCTCCTCCAGCTTCATCTCTGACAATCCTAAAATTATATAAAATTACTTTATAGGGTGGGAAAGGTCTCCATCACTGCGTTGCGTACTTCTGACTGAAATTATAATACCCTGCAAGGGTATAAAAATGACAAAACTTAGCCAAACGCAACTCAGAAAACTATTCGATCTAGTTTTATTAAGTTGATTATTATAATAATTTAACAAATACAAAATATATAATAAATAATAATAATATATAAAGACAATAATAAATAAAATAAAATAATATATGGTAATTTTTGTTAAAACTAAAGCTTAAAAATATCATAACTAAGCCAAAAATGCATTAATTTTAATTCTGAAAGCTGTTCTGGATCTGTTTTTATAATGTTAATAGATCTGCATCCAAAGTTTAAAATTTTAGAAAATCAAATTTTTTGGTCATTTTTGCTAATTTTAATGATGTAACCCCTTACATTTTTTTGCAAAAATGGCTAAAAAATAAATTTCTTCCGAACAAAACTAGAAAGAAGCGCCTGTTAATGCTGATCAAGAATATATATGGTTTATAGGGTCGGAAATGACTGCTTCCCTAAATAAAATAAAAAAACACTTCAGGAAGACCCTATGGAATTTAGGTTCGATTTGTATACAAATATAACTGAAATTCCTATGGCAGCTTTGCATATGATAAAGTCGTTTGATCTAGCATAGCTTTTAAACTAAGATTATTTAAAATAATGTATTAATCAATGAAATTTTTTTGTTGTGTATTATTTTTAATATTTACTATATACTCCTCCTACATAAGTCCATACATATTTTACGTAGACCTTCACGAGCACAGAGACTGCCGTCTTCTCTATATATTTCTGTATATATATAAAGCTCTTATCAATCCCAGCCTAAGCTCGATGCCTCTTCGAAAGTCTTTGAATATTTCGGGAATCAGTTCTTTAGAGACTTTCATCCATCGTGGTCTAACAATCTTCTAGTACAAGGATGCACAACTTCGGAATCTTCTTCTGGGCACTAGCTGCCTGTATCCTGCGGCAAGGATTATTCGCGGAGGATCAGTCGGGGTACATTTGCCTGATTGAGAATCCAGAACAAAATCAGTGCGACAGCATTTGTCTTACTGAAGTGAGCCCACGGCTTAGCGAAATCGTCCAGGCCCAGAACGAAGGGAATACGAACACCCGTGATGCTGTCAACGAAATCAAATCGAAGCTGGAGACATTGGAGGTGAATATAGGAGAAGTGCAGCTGAGGGAACGACTACGAAGCGTGGAAAATACGCTGAATAGACGACTACAAGGAGTGGAATCTAAGCTGGAAAGACATCTTCAGGAGATGCAAACCAAGGTGGAGGCTAAACTGGCAAAAAGCCTGCATGAGGTAAATACCAAGCTGGAAGGACAACTACAAGGACTTCAGGAGGGGCAAACCAAACTGGAGGCTCATCAAACCAAGATGGAGGCTAAACTAGAAGACAGTCAGCTTGCGGTGAAGACCAAGCTGGAAGGACAATTACAAGGAGTGGAAAATAAGCTGGAAGGACGACTTCAGGAGGTGCAAACGAAACTGCAGGCTAAACTGGATGAAAGTGTCCAAGCGGTACAAAAAATGATTGAAAACCAACTTCAGCTTGTTGTAAATCAACTGCAGGCAGTGCCGAACAAGATAGATGCAGCCAAGGTGGAAACTCAAGTACATCCCATATCGAATAAGACGGCAGCCTCCGAACAAGCAGCCAAGGCAGCAGTCCCTGCTTCAGCCACGACTACGATACCATCTGGATTCGAGCTAATAGGTACCAGATATTTTAGAATTGTATATGAAAGAGTGGAATGGCGGACTGCTATGACAAGGTGTCGTGAGATGGGAGGTTACTTAGCCGCCTTTCGAAATGAAGAAGAAATTAACGCCATTACACCAAAACTTGACTGGAATGGGAACTATTGGCTAGGCATTAATGATCTAGTTATTGAGGGCTACTTCGTATCTGTTGCCTCAGACAAGCCCGCACAATTTTTAAAGTTTTGGCGAAAATCAGACGACAAATATCATGACCATAACTGCGTCTATTTGCGTAATGGGGGAATGTTAGACGCCTTTTGTAATCGTTTTATGTCTTTTATTTGCCAGGCGGACAATGAAACTTAGTAAAATTTGTATTTATATTTTAAATAAAGTTATATTTTAAAATAATAATACTACTTTTTGTTGTTAATTAAACATTGTATGGTATTAATTTTGCTACTTAGGTACACCTTCTTGGGAAATATATATAAACGAGCACGCAGAGAGTGCAGTCATCGCTATAAATATGTAAGCTGTTATCAATCCAAACTTAGATCGGATGCTTCTTCGGAAACCATCGCCTGATTTCGGGAATCCGTTGATAAGAGACTTTCACCTTGACTCTTGAACCCTGATTAAACAGAGCTTTTAGCTACAAACTGCACTTTTGTTCAGTGCCGATTGCTGAACTAATTCATAAATAATTTGCAATTTATTTTTTTTGATAATAAACCTATTGTTTTTAATAAAAATATTTTAGTAAAATAATATTTAAGTTTAAGTAACAAAGGGACAATGCTTATAACCAGATATATATGGTTTATAGGGTCGGAAATGACTGTTTCACAAAATAAAATCAAAATACCCTTCAAGGAGACCAGAATTATTTGAATTTTTTAAAACAAATAAACAAAAATAAAATATTTCTTCAATTATTATTTTAAATATATTTAGTTGCGTTTTTAAATTAATTTTGAAATGTAACAAACTTTATTAAGTTGTATAACAGTTTTGGTATGTTATCTGGTAGATTCTTAAGACCCCTGTTGGTATTTTTTCGACGGCCGAGTTGCGGTCATACCATACCATAGTAAACAAAGTTTATTATCAGAATTGCTTTAAAATGTGCTTAATTCGCAAAATAAGAGTGTTTTCCCTTCTATACAAGTGAAACCTGAAGCTGAATAACTTTAAATACAACCAAGACCCTGCTCTGCAAGAGAATAAGCGGTTAAATCCACAAATATTGAGCAATCAAAATGCGATGGCTGTACGCCTGCTTTGTGATCCTGCTCTGCGCCTTGATCTTCTGCGAATATGTGGCCGACTTTGTGGTTCTGCAAAAGTGCAAATGGCCGGAGATTAAGCGAAAGAAGTACGTGGACGATCCGCTGCGAGCCATGATTATAGCGGATCCTCATCTCCTGGGACCACATCGTGGCCACTGGCTGGACAAGCTCTACCGGGAATGGCATATGACGCGAGCTTTCCGGGCGGCATCGCGGCTCTTTCAGCCGGATGTGGTTTTTGTGCTCGGCGATTTGTTCGATGAGGGCGATATGGTGAGCGATAAGCAGTTCCAGGAATATGTATGGCGGTACTTGAAGATGTTCCACCTGCCCCCGGGTATACCGCTTATCAGCATTGTGGGTAACCATGACGTCGGCTTTCACTACAAGTAAGTATCCAGGACAGAGCTTCCCCCAAAATGAACCTCCTCCGAAACTCATTCTTTCAGAATGCATCCCTTCTTCATGGTTCGCTTCGAGAACTATCTGAACAACTCGCTGGTGAACCTGTACACCATCAAGCAGATTCACTTTGTCCTGATCAACTCAATGGCCATGGAAGCGGATGGCTGTATGTTCTGTACCCAGGCGGAGGATCAGCTGAGGAACATCTCGCGCACTCTCCACTGCATGAAGTATCCTCTGGAGGCGGAGTGCGCCCGAACGCGGCGCCATCCCTATAGCCAGCCCATCCTCCTCCAGCACTTTCCCACATACCGGGTCTCGGATGCCGCGTGCCAGGAGCATGATGCTCCCTTTATCGAGGGCTTTCGCGAGCGCTTCCACGTTCTGTCCAAGGATGCCACGGACATGCTGGGTGACCTGCTGAATCCGAGACTGGCCTTTGCGGGCCATTCGCATCACTATTGCCACAGCGTTAATCGACTGGGCATCAACGAGTACACGGTGGCGTCCTTCAGCTGGCGGAACAAGGTCAATCCCAGCTTCATGCTGGTGGGTACAAATCGAGAAGGTAAACTGTAAACTAAGACTAATCCTGTGGTATTCCCATTAGGCCACTATCACCCCCGATGACTACGTGGTGGCCAAGTGCAAAATGCTGCCGCAGCAGTTCGTCTTTAACAGCTACCTAAGTGCTGGCATCCTCTGCCTTATGGTCATTGCGTTCCGGCTGCGCCAGTGCCTCGTGAGGGCCCAGATCTCTCCAGATCCGCGAAAGGACAACTAGTTAGTAGAGAAAAGTATACCAAGTGCATCCTCTTTTGTGATTTACGCCTGAATGGGGCATAGTTTAGAGACTAGACACAGCCAGATTAAAGATTCCAGAACCAGAAGACCATTGTCATATCATTCCTGCTGCTAAAAAATAGTTTATTATTCACATAGAGCATGCCAGGACATCGTGTACGGTATATTTATTGAATTTATCACAGACAAAATGCTTGCAAAGTCACACGGAATACGTTATGAGACACACAGTCTGCTGCGGCGACAACAAATGCCAAAGAATCATGCTGGAATTTGGATATTAGAACGCGAATAAGAACAGAACCCTTAAATAAAGCTAACGTTATAATACAATAATTACCCTACGCAGATTCATAGGTTCCTGTACTTCGGTTTCAATGGACTACAGACTAGGCTACGTTTTATATTTAACTACGGCTACTAACTAGACCAACAAGTCGGGGGTTCTGTGGAATATTTATATGGGAGCTTGGGTTCCCTTTGGCTTGGCACAGGAAGTAAGGGTATCCCTAAGGTTACAGGAGGTTTTTGTGCGCCTGCGCATGGATATGGCGACTCTCGAAGCACTCCTTTGGAAGGAACCTAAAAATAAAGCTTACATTAATCAAAGAAATCTCTATGGCAGGCACTCACCTATGAATCACCGGCGATATTAGATCCGGATCGAGCGTCTTGGTATTCGTTGGCTTGGTCACCAGGGAAACCAACGCACCCACAACAATTACCGTGGACACACCAATGGGGTTTATCCAGTGGTAGGACAGGCGATACAGCGGAAACACCTGCTCCTCGTCCACCCACATGCTCTCGGGTAGCGTGACATTGCCCACACATCCCTCCACGGATACGGGCAGCTTCTGCGAGTTCAACTCCCCCGCAGCAATGGTGAACTGCGTGCCAAAGGATATCCAGCCGGCGAGCAAGGCACTGGCAATGCCACCCACAGCAGTGCCCACGGTATTGGCCCAGGGAACGAGCATTCCCAGAGTGAACAGGCCAAAAGTGGTCCCAGCTGCGATGGCTGTCATTGAAGTGCAAATGCTCAGGATTCCGCTCAGTTGCTCCAGGACAAAGACCAGCGACAGGGCCACAATGCCAAGCACAATAATCGTGGACTTGACCAGAATGGTAGAGGCCCTCTCACTGGGCTGCATCTTGAAGCAGCCCCGAACGATATCCTCCAGAATGACCAGGGACGTGGAGTTTAGCACCACGGAAAGTGAGCTCAATGCAGCACCGAATATGCCAGCAATAAACAGGCCAGGCATTCCGTAGATATGACCCACACTCTGCATCACAAACAGCGGCAGGAGTTGATCGTCATGCTGAAAGGGAAAGAGGGTTAAGCTGGAGAAGGATTATAGTAACCTAACTCACCGTTATCATTCCTGCACTGAGTGGATCGCAGTCCTTGTACATCTCAAAGATCAGCAGTCCCACATAACAGCAAACGGAAACAAAGGCCGTCACGCCAATAGTAAATATAGCCATGGAAGCCCGAGCTTTCTTCAGCGAGGGCAGCGACATGTATCGCTGTACCATGGTCTGATTCACCGCATTAAACGAGGTCCAATAGGAGAAGCCACCGATTAGGACACTCCACACGGTGTGACGAACATAAGGCGAGGGATTTGTATTGTTAAAAATCAATCGTCCACCTTTGGCCGCATCATCGAACAGGACGTCCAGGCCATTGGCATAAATTGTGGCCAAGACAGCCACGGCCATAACGGATACAAACATGACCATGGTTTGCCAGGCATCCGTATGGACCACAGCCTTGATGCCTCCCTAAAAAAGTGACCCAAAGACTTGATTAAGGTTCAAGCTAAGACCTGGGAAACCTACCACAAAGGTGTAGAAAACACAAACGACCACAATCACCACTGCAATCACATGGAGATTAATGCCAGAAACTGAAAGATTAGCTCAAGATTAGCGGGGGAATTAAAATGAAATAAGAAGTATGTGAAGACTCACCCTGATTGAGAGCTATAGCTGGCACATAAACGATAAAGGGAAGAAATAGGATCTGTAATCAAGCCAAGGATAAAATTTATATCCATTTTAAGTTGAAAGCTTAGCATAAAGGTCTTACCTCATCCAGTATAAACATAAACGATGCTATGCTTCTTATTACCGAGTGAAATCGCATCTCCAGGTACTAAAATGAGTTTAATTTTAGGCCTTAAAACAGCAATATAAAACAATTACTTTACATTTTCCTAGCAACTAATTCCCCCTAACCCATTTGTCAAGTGGCAACCGAACTGAAACACTTTGTAATTAATCATATCGGTTCCATGTCGCAACAAGTGGGCGAGACCAAAGTCCAAGAAATTCCACTTGAGTAAGGGGTCTCCGCCGGTTCTCAGTTAATTAAAACGTTCACTACGCTTGCCGTTTGAATTCCATTGATTGGCAAAAGAGGAGAGAAAGGAAGGGTGGTGAAAGGGGGGCAGGAAGTAAACATAATCAAGACAGTATCTGCCTTATCGAAAACAAATGGGAGGAGAAGGAAAGTCCTATATCGTAGAAAATATATAGAAGTTTTAGATAATACAATTTTGAATATTTAAAAAGAAAGAGGCAGGAAATACCACCTAGAAAATTCATTATATTTATATTTTATAAAATATAATGTTGAATATTGAAAGAAGTATTATCCGCAATACCTATTCCATCCTAATAATTTCCCTACTTTAAGTAGTTCACCATCTTTTAGATACCTTTTTTAGGACTAAAAAAACCCTCAACTAATTAGGGTTGTAAATAAATCAAATCGATTTCAAGTAGCTTATGAATGACGTCCTACCTCATACGAAGAACCCACTTGAAGAGCCGCGAACACGGGTATATAGACATAGGAGACGGCAATTCCTTGGATCACTATTGCTATGGCTATAAACCAATATTGCGTGCCATAATTGTAGATTTCCGAGGTGGTGCCCAGTATCGTGACGCCCGATATATAGCTGGGGGAGATAGATGGTGATTACAGGTTCAGATTTTTGTTGTTGTTATGGGGAGTTATAATGCGAAACCCACCTGGCTATCAGGCTCATAGCCACTGGGAACACTTTCAGATTGCGTGATCCCAGCAGATATTCGCTCATCTTCTCCGATCCGAAATCATTCTTCCGTCTTTGCGGCGTACCGTTGGTGGTGGGTAAGGTGGGTTCCGTCTCCTCTAGCTGCTTCTTGCTCTTCCTATAATTAACGCAAATCAGTTGGCATTGGCATCGGGCTGGGATCAAGGTTCAAAGGCGACTCACTTTATGCATCCAAAATAGATGCCGGTGCCGGTGGATAGTACTACCATGCCCAGAAAGACTATGTAGTCGATGCTACCGAATCGGTAGCTATCCATGGGGGTTCCCGTCTCCATCTGTATTCAAATTTTATAATTAAAATATTTAAAAATATGTATTTACTACCTTGGGTTTTTATGTATCCCTAAAGATTGCTATATTTTTATGTCCCTTTTAACTTGAAATATCTTTATGACTCTGTGCCGTAGAGTTGGGTAAGAATTGTTATTTGATATGGACCTATTACAACTGGCACTGAGATTCCCAATCTCGGATCCATTTGTGTGAACAAGTGCGCGAAATGAGCTCCGGGATTATGAGTGTAAAATGGTAATTGCTGTGGGATATCTGCAGTGAGTAATAAACCTAAAATGAGACCGTTTCCAAAGTAATGCTTATCATGATGCCATTAACAATTATCTCAAGTCGTTTAGTTATAACATATATTAACCCAAAATAAAATCTTCTATATCAGTTCCATTCACATGTTTCGGTCATTCCCCTATCAAAGTACTTCGGATTTAATCGGAACAGGTGGAGAGACTTTAGCCTCTAAACCCACAGCAAAGGACTCCCAGCGGAGTCATGGGAATGGTCAGGTCTTATCACCAGATGACAGCCCAATATTCATCAACTCACGTCAAAATGTCAGAGACTTAAACTCTTTGCATAATTCACAGAGATTAATATTAATATTAATATATTTTGTGAACGTAATAGTGGGTTATAAAACATGTATAATATTGGTATTATAAAATCTTTTGAAGTGGAAGATTTTGAAACAAGCTAAATCAATGAGAGTGTTCAGTGTAGAGAGGCTTTGCATAGATTTATTTATTTAGAAACTCCAGTTCATTGGGCAGAGGATCCACCCGATCCAATCTCTGTGCGGCGTCTGGGACTTCAACCTTTTACGCAATATCTCGAGAGGCATTATCGCCCTGGACTTGGACTTTGTAACTCAGATGCCGCCTCTTTGTGTACTCCCCCCTGTCTAGACCCTAAACATATAGCTTTGCATATTCCAGTACCGGCGAAAGGTGCGAATAATACTACTCACCGATTCTGTGTTACCAAAGACCGGAGGCGGGGGTGGCTTCCAGAACTGGAGCAGCGGCAAAGCAAAGCAAAGCGGAAAAATGTGCGTCCCTCACGAATATGGCGACGAAAGCAAAGCGCGATAAACAGCCAGCAACAGCAAACTAACAACAAAAATTGGCTAAACGTAATGGATTGTTTAATTTTCGTTCAATATTGAGAATTTTCTTAATAATGCTCTTCAAGCACGACACTCTTGTAATCAAAAACAAAACAAAAAACCAAACTCGAAAATGCTAATCGCGGAGCTGGGAAAGTGAGAGTGAAAGGAAAGTTTTGTCGGCGTATTCTGGTGCGGCGATTCGATTCTTTCAAGTCGAAAAGCGAAATATATTCCAGGTCCGAACCGAACCAACAACACGAGCCGATTCCCGAACTGCAACTGAAGAGTGTGAGCGAGCCGCAAATATACCAGGCACTGGGCCAGCACCAGCTGCTCGACTGAAATCAAGGGGGAACTACTGTGGAGTGACGACTAGGAGATACCTATTTCGTAAGTTCTTAAATTTAAACTTTACATCTTTGAAATATTTCCTCATAAGGTAAATTTCTTCTTAGAATTCTAGATCTAATCGTTTTAACTGAATGATTATCTAGGAAAAATCATAACTTGATAGTATTAATAAATAGTAAAATATATATTTCTAAAAGAAACCCTCCTTATAACAGGAAGTATTTGTTTAGGGTTTATTAAATAATTATAATTAATATTAAATGTCTGGAATATGCTCATTAGTAGATTTATTTTCTGTTCCCTTCTGCACAAACACAACATACCCTTACAGCTTACGATTACGGGGTATAAAAAGCTTCCTCTCCCACCCATTTGTTTTGCCTGTGGGAGGAGAGAGTAAGAGAGAGTAAGCGTGTAACAGCATGAATCAGGAAGAGAGGGACGCAGGGGGTGGGCAGGAGGTAAAGGGGACAGACTGCGAGAGAGGGAAAAAGCTTCCCGTGGTTGTTGTAATCTTCGTTGGGTCATGTCAGTGGAGACTTGACCGTTCGATCGGTTAACGGTTAAGCGAAGAGATGCCCCATGTGCAGAGGGAAAATATAAACAAAATATTAATAGTATTCAAATGAAAAAGAAAAAAATAATTATAAATATTTTAAAGTACCCATAATGTTATATCATATTGATTTTATTTCAACTATTGCAGGTCAGCTAAAACAGGAATATTCAACAAACTCAATTAGCATTTATGGAAAAGTTTAGCTTTAGAAGTTTGCCAAGTTTATTTCTAGTCTAGACAAATCATAAAAGCTATCTGTAGAATTTAAATATTAATAATAATATTCAAGAGCTTGTGAATATCAAAAGCTTAACTGGTTAGTTTATTTTTCGACTTTTAAAGAAATTTTAAAGGTTTAAGGTTCCTGAATTGTATTCTAGACAGTTTCTGAAGTATTCTTTGGGAAGGAATCGAAAGGAATATATTTAAAATTATAGTTTTTATTTACCTGTCAATAACTAAAATATGAAAAGGAGTAAAAATCTGGACATCTGTGGGTTCTCTAACCAATAGGTTTAATTCAACCAAATCCTAAGTCAACAAAACCAGTGGAAACACTTTCTCCCTATCTACCATCTGCATCTTTGGCAGGGAAACCTTTCCCAGGTATACCTCCCATGCTGAAAGCTACTGTGATTAACTGCGATCCAAAGGAGCGCCTTGACTAGAGTACTGGAAATTCCAACGGCTCTGAGAGAATCCCTATATTTGTACAATGATATAAGACAGTCCTGAAAATAAACATCATTATTTAAGATAACTTTCAATAAATGTTAATACAAAATAAATCTACAGAAATGACTTTTACTGTACATTTGCTTATCATTCCGGCGAACGGATGGATGGTAAGAGAGGCAATCAATAGCTACTATTTAGAATGAGCAACCACAACAGATAATTGCACAATTGTCAGTGTCAGACTTTTACCACTTCTCTCCGCATTCGTGGAATCTAATTGGATTAGAGGCAGGCCAGCGAGTCCAAGACCCAGTCTCAATTGCAGTGCCAATTGCAACGCCAGGCAGCTCCGTGGTCCGTTGTAACCAAGTTCCAAACTGGAGGAGATTGTCGCATAAGCTGGCTACATGATGAGCAACAAGGGCAGTCCCTCCAGGATTGCATTCAAGCGAAAGACGAGCATCGGCAGCCAGAGCAAAAGCCAGCCCATAGACTATGAACGCATCCAGGGGGATGTCGAGGTGATTGCCACTCCGCCGCCTGCTCCTCCGCCTCCCCTGGGCGGCCAGGGCAAGCTGAAGTTGAAGCTGAGCTCCGCCAAGATCACGCTCCGAAAAACCACGCAGGCTTCACAAAAGAATCTAGTGGCTATAACCTCGCCAGCGGACGCAGTGCGTCGCAAGTCAGCGCCGCAGCTCTTCACATTTACCATTGCCCCCAAGGGGGAGACCTCAGAAGCAGAAGTAGCACCACCATCCATCATACCCAAGCTGCCAGTCCTGGGATTCACCCATTCCATTCGACGCTCTCGGACCTTGGGACAAGCTGGCATCTCGACAGGGCTGCCCACTACCGAGGACCCCCTTGGACAGACGCAGGACAGCGGCAGTGGCAGTGAGCCCAGCAGCAGCCTGGCCGGTGGCGGAAGTTCCACCTCTCCGGAGTCCTTGCTGGATAACATTCTCAGTGCCGCCTCGTCCGTGTCCGTGCAGAGCAGCAGCAGCAGTCAGGCCAGCAATGCCACCGTGGCGCAGCCCATCAAGGCCAAGGAGCAGCTGCATCCGAAGCGGTTGCTGAGCCTGAAGGCCTCACCGGAGCTAAGGATTTCACCACCAACGCCAGATACGGCTCAGCCCAAGCTGGAAATGCTTCCGCGACTCCTCTTGGACGCTACGCCAAGGCCAGAGATATTTGATGCTCCATCGCCACTGTGCAGAAGTCCATCGCCTGGCGGTATGCCCTCGCCCTCGCCCACACCTTCGCCCTCGCCCAGCATCACCTTGAGACCGAGTACGCCGCCGGAGAGCACGGTGACCTTTACCGATGACCTCAAGTGTGGCATCTGTCTGGATGTGTACACCGATCCGAGGACCCTGCACTGCTTGCACTCCTTCTGCCTGCAGTGCCTGATCAGCGAGAACTTTAAGGAGGAGTCCATGTGGGATCCCATGGACCAGGCTCGCAGCGAGGATCCCTCCAGCTACAGCTTGCGGTCGGAGATGGGAGGCGGCTCCAGTCTGGAGCTCACGGCCACTGTGTCCCCGGCTAGGCAGCGGGGAGCTAGCTTGAGTCTGAGAAGGAAGAAGTCCATGGACCGTTTGGCGATCCGGGTAAGGGTATGAACTCATGAAGAATCCATCTTCAAAGGTTCCTTCTTGCAGTCCAAGAGCGAGGGCAAGCGCTCGACGACAAGCTCTTTTGGCACCCGGCTGACGGGCAGCTTTGTGAGCGAAGTGGTCAGCCGCTGCATTCGCTGCCACAGCTGCAACTATCCCACGGATCTCCCTCTGGGTGGAGTGCGTCAGCTGCCGCAGAACTATCTGCTGGTCAGGAGAATCGAGTTGCTGCGCTTGCAGGCGGGAGAGGATGTGATTGCGAGGGTCTGGTGCTCCCTGTGCACCGAGGAAATCAGTGTAGGTTCTCCTTCGAAGAGTATGTATCCAGAATAATTAGAATCTATGCCAATCCAGGCCACCTATCATTGCATCAGCTGCACCCTAAACCTCTGTACGCTGTGCAAGGAGGCACACGAGCGGCAACGTAGCACCGCCAATCACCGAATGCGTAGCATCTTGGAATTGAGAAGAGCCCGGAAGCAGAAGCAGCAGCAACTGGGCCTGGGGGATAGCAGCAAGCTCATCCTGCGCTGCGGCATTCATACCAACTTTGAGCTAAAGGCCTTTTGCACTCTATGCCGGCAGTTGGCCTGCACGGATTGCCTGGTGTTGCTTCACAAGGGCCACCGGCATGAGACCATTCCACGCGCCATTGTTCACCAAGGAAAGCAGCTAAGGGAAGCCACGGATCAGACACGTCCTCTGTGCCAATATGCAGAGCATTCCATAGAGAGATTGAACGAGATCGCGCGAGGAATCAATGCCAGGTGCGATGACATACAGAGCCAGGTGGAGCGGTATATGCAGAGCTACATGGAGGCCTTGGAGGTGCATAGAAGGACACTGCTGCAGCAGATCAGCAGGGCCAGGGAGTCCAAGGTGGAGGTTGTAGTCAAGCAGCAATTGGATTTGGGTGAGCTTGAGGCTTGGGTTACTCTTAAGACTTACGTAATTTTCTGAAATCCCTCAGAGAAACGCACGCAGCAAGCCATGGAGGCAGTGCGTTTCAGTCAGGAACTGTGCGAGATTGGCGCCGACGCCGAGATCCTAAGCTTTGTGGGCATTCTGCTCCGTCGTTTGGAGTTCTGTCAGCAGTTCAAGCCGCCAGTGGACCCCAAGGTGGGACAATCGATTCCTAATCCTAGTTACTTTTATAATACTCCTTTCAGATCTCAGATTCACTTCACTTCCTTCCCAAAATCCGAGCTCCTTCCACTAAGGATCAGCGGGATATCCCGTTGTATGGCATCATTACTATGCAGGTGGTGGAGCCCGGTCTGTGCACCCTGCAGTGGGAGGGCTTCTCCCAACTGCGCCTCCACAAAAAGGCAGATCTCCTGCTGCACTCCAGGGACGCCGACGGTGTCTCGCTGTGTCATGGAGGCTTGGAGATCAACTGCATGATCAAGTACAAGGATTCCAACTCAAAGTTCCTGCCCGTTGAAGTGTCGGACAACCGCGATGGCACCTACAACATCTCCTTTACGCCGGACGCCCAGGGCTCGTTGATTCTGACAATCACCATTAATGAGCGTCCCATTAAGGGCAGCCCCTTCACCTTCCAGGCGCGTCAAGTGCGTCCGCACACTGGGATCTATCACTGCTGCTCCTTCTGCTCCGGCAAAGGCAGCCGAAGTGTCAAGTGCTCGTGCGAGGGGCGCATGCCAGGCTACAGTGGCTGTGGGCATGGACATGCCGGCCATCCTGGTCGGCGGCACTGGTCCTGCTGCGGCAATGTCCTGGAGAACTCCGAGTGCAATGTGGCGAATAAGCTGCTGAATGCTTAGGTTATTAAATTGAAAATGTTTCTAGCTTTTCTTAGTCAACTTAACAATAAAAAAATGTATAAAATCAGGTAAGCGTTACTTTAAGGATATCCATAATTGCATGTTTTGGGTTTCTCCTCTCTTAGGTAGAAAATTTTCAAGACAAACTCACACCACATATGTTTCCAAACAAAATTCCATTTTCCACCATTTTAGAAAGTCTGAAATTTAGAATATTATATGTTGGCTTTAATCATTGAAAGTTACAAATCTTGTCAACACAACATGAAGATGGGAAATAAAAATAATAATGGTTTTCGCACTTCCGTGTGCTATGATCGGTACGATTGTGGGGTAAATGGCTAAAACTACTCGAGGGATTATCTCTTCTCATGACCAATAAACTCTATGTTCTTAGATTTGGTAGTATGCGAATCCTAGTCCTCATTGTCGGAGTACCACGACAGGCGCTCCTCGTAAAAGTGAATCACCATTTGGGGAATCTTGAGATTGGCCACTGTCGAGGGCACCATTTCGGCTTGGTCCACTCCCTTGAATTGAATCAAGAATGTTAAACGTCCATTGTTATCGGATGCCCCGAGTATTTTCTCAGCCTCAAGGCCGCGATCAAAACCAGTTGAACTAGAAGTCATGGAATCGCCGCTATCCTGGTCCGCTTCCACTGTGCGTTTAGATTTTGCGCTTACAGGTGCTGAGGAAAGATGGTATATTTTCCATTAATCAAGGGAATTGCAGTTGGGTTTCAGTAGTGAAATTTTTGACATAAGGTTGACAGAAAGTAACTACATATCGATATTTGATTCCAAATTGTTTCGATGATTTATCAAGATATACGATATATGTTATTTATTTTTACGATATCTAGATTTCGATATATTAATATTTGTGTCCATCATCTGGGACTACTCCTCGCGATCTTCATCCCTAATCCGTCCTAGCCTTATTTGTCTTTGGCCTGCCTGTACTTTGTAATCCCATTTTGCTAGAGAATCTTTACGATACAATCGTTTTTGCGCTAGCTATCGTGGAAAGAGGCAATTAAGTTCCTTATTCTGCGGGTCCTCTGCTTGCCCAAGAGCTCACAATTCTGGTGGAGATACTGTACTACGCATTTTAGCTTAATGGGAGAAGATGAGACTGTTTTTGTGTATCTCAACTGTCAAATATGTTCTTTTTTGGGGTAGAGTCTTTTTTGAGCGGTCTAATGTATAGAGAACACTTAGAATGATTACCTAGCGACCCTTATTCCCTTAAGGGACTGGTTGTCTACCTGGTTTTCTTTCTTTTGAGCTCATGGGAAAAACATATAATTTTGCGCGCGAAAACAACATTTCTAGGGTAAACAAAATCTACTTTTCACGAGTCTTTTGCCCGGCCAAGCCACTTGACACTTAAGAATACAACCTAAATTCAGCTGGACTTACCCGGTTCCTCGGACTTTCGCTTGTTTGAGGACGTAGACGCTGTGCTGGACCGTGCCGAAGTGTCCTTTCCTTTGTTGCTACTGCTAGGGCGATCCTTTTTCGAAGGAGCCGCCTTCTCCGCCTGCGCAGCATCGGGAGAGAGAGAGAGGGAGAGGGATGTGATGAGCATCAGCTCGAGCACAACTGTACCCGAAGAAGCACTTACCTCGTCCTTGCGACTCAGCTCATACTGCTGGATGAGGTCCTGGCAGTCCAGATTGCTCTCCGGCTCCCATGTATTCTCGGTGTCGGCATACCCCTTCCACTTTAGGTAGTACTCCACCTTCGGGTGAAAAACGAAAGATGAAGCGACGCACTCGGCGATTTCTGGCGCCTAACACTTACCTTTCCTTTTCGCACGCGCCGGTCGATTATCTTCTCTACGGCGTATTCTGCCTCCTCCTCCTCCTCAGAGTCGTTGCTAGTAACTTCAGGATTGTCTGATTTCTTGCCCATTGCTAATTTAGAAGGCGCTTACTTTGAAAAAAAAAAAAAAAAAAATTGGCACCGCGGACGCCACACGCACACAAGCATGAGGAATAATGCGAAAAAAAACGCTGTTAGTTGTCGTCAGTTGTAATCACCAGATTGCGCACACTTACCACTATTCGAGTATAGAATATATTAAAGCCTGTTGGCTAGTTTCACTTTTTTGCACAGCTTAGTGCTGTTGCCCGAAAAACTCTTGCTTAAATGAAAATGTACGAATTCACATACGCCTGCTCGAGTGACGCCGGTGAAGAAGTCAGTGTTGGAAAATGCCTCAGCGCAAGAACTGTAAATGCCCGTGGTGCTATCGATAGATCGATATAGGAAATAATTATTTATTTGTTATTTGGTTTTGAATTTCAACTTATTCCTGCCTTGCTATTAAATTAAAATAAAATTATGTTCAGATATATAGAATTTAAATGATCATAAACCGCTTAAATTGCATATTGAATGTAGCGATAGTATGATCGAAAATCATCGATGACGCCGCTATGGATACTTTCTTCGCACCCTTTTCAACACTATTAAATCCAACAAACTAAAAAGCGCGAATTTTCTACTGTTTTATGCATTTATTAAAAGTAAGAAGCCGAATTATGCCAAAGATCAAGAAGCAAAAGTCCTCCTCTTCGGAGAGCGACAGCGGCCCCGAAGACGTAAGTCCATGCAGAATACTCTTTTAGCTGACTATAACAAACTGCATTTGTATTGCAGCGCAATCAGCCGGCAAGTAAGAAAGCCAAGGAGACACCGGCTGCGGAGGGTGGCAAGAAGGCTGCTGCCGGCGGTTCTGGCGGAGATGGGCCCTGGGTCCTGGAGAAGCTGCGTCAAGTGCGCATCAACGAGTTCCGCGGACGCAAGATGGTGGACATTCGCGAGCACTATGAGAAGAACGGCGAAGTTCTACCCGGCAAGAAGGGCATCTCGTTGTCGGTACAGCAGTGGAAGAAGCTGCTTGAAATGGCCGATGAAATAACGCGAGCAGTAGAGAACTAGAGTTTTAAGGCCATAGAGTTAAGACCTACACTATGTTAACAAGCATTTAAGTGGGCTAGCACCACCCAGTGAATAAATGTTACTTAAAAGGAAGAAAAAGGCTTAGAAAGCTGATAACATGATAAATACAAATACGTTTTATTGGAAATACTTAAAAACAAAGCAATTAAACTTTAAAAGTAGACGCTCAACAGGATGCAGAACGTCAGGAGAACGACAAAGGGCAGCCAGGTCTTCAGTACACCCCCAATGCCAACGTAGCGCCCGCAGACGAAAAGCCACATGCTCAGGATTAGCATGTTCCAGCCTGTGCTATTCTTGTAGCGCATATTGATGAGTGCCGTCGCCACATGCGAGTGGCAGTTGTCGCAAAAGATGTTGTGGATCCGCGTGCCGTACAGCACCGATGCCTTCGAAACAGCCTCGTCCCAGGCATCGCTGCCGCCCTCCACAAAGTTTGGCTGCAATCGGAGGTAGCGGGTGGGCCGACCGAAGGCCATGTTGTCCTCCGAGACGAAGTAGGCGCCAGCAAAGTCCCTGATCACGCCAGCCGAGGTGCAGATACCCATATGACCGATCACGGGCAAAATCCAGGTGAGCACGGGTATAGGTGTCCAGACAATACAATATGGAAAGCGCTGCTCAGCTGTGTTGATGGCAGGCAGTCTCTCCGGGGCACCGACACCTCCGGATCCTGCTCCCGATCCGCCCATGGTGATCTGCACGTCCTCCTGGCTCTGGTGACTTGGGTTCGTTGTCATTATTAGTACACTGAACAAGCTGGAATCAGGCGCGTTGTGGGGAAACCACAAACAGTCACTCACTAATTGGCTCTATCCGGGTCGTAAACCCCCTCAAAATCGGTCGCTAACTTTTCCGATTGTGGCCAGGAATCCACTTTGATAAGCGGAAAAGACAGACACTGCGAGAGTATTGCTATAAACAAATTACACACACCTGGGTTATTTTTTGTTAAGATAATAACAGTGTTGGAAAACGCAGCCTGGATTCAGGGGTTTATCAAACGAAACTTAATTGGCTTATTTTCCCAACAAAAACCATACAATTAACCAATAAAAAAAGTTTTTCTCTTTTATAAATGTATTATTTGTTATTATATATAGATTTTTTTATTATTTAGTAATTAGCAACTGTATAACTGTATTTTGGTGTCTTTCAAGAAAAGCCATCTGGTCTCACTGAACTGTTTGTTTTTGTTTAGCTGCTGGCAACAATTTATTGCTTAACATTCATAAACAATTATTAGCCGATTGTGGCCATGGCACAGGTGTTTATCAATGGAGCAAGAGACGAGCCCAATGTGCGGGAGTTCGACGGCTTGGGTAACCCGATGGCGTCTTATCAAGTGTGCTCTTTAATCTGTTGACAATCAATCGAAACAGATTCCTCAATCCAGGAGCTTATCCACGCAGCCACCGAGGCCAGGAAGCTGGCTTATTGTCCATATAGCAACTTTGCTGTGGGTGCTGCCCTGAGGACCAGCGATGGCACCATTTACACTGGTTGCAACATAGAAAACGGCGCTTATGCCACCACCATTTGTGCAGAGCGCACGGCCGCGGTTAAGGCCGTCAGGTAGGTCAGTGGGTCACAACTGTGGAACGAGGGGGTGTCACATGAGCTTATCTGCAGGTTCATAGGCTATCTTAGGTAATTTGTTGTACTTCTTACAGAGAGATTTGTATTTATCATATCAATGCTCATTTTAACTACGATTTCTTAGGGTTTCAAATGAAAGAAAGATTTAATTATATTCTAAACCTTAAGATATTACCATCCTAATATCCATTTTCCTTTTCCAGCGAAGGCAAACGCGACTTTGTGGCCTGTGCTGTGGTGGCCCAGCAGGACAATGGCTTCACCACACCCTGCGGCGTTTGCCGGCAGTTCCTCTCCGAGTTTGTCAATGGCCAGGACATACCACTGTATGCCGCCAAGCCGAGCAATCTGCCCCTGAGGGTGCTCTGCACCAGTGTGCTCCAACTGCTGCCCAACGGCTTCAGCTTCTCAAACGGCAAATAGCGGGAAGGTCGCCCTTCTCCGTTCTGGCAGCTGCAAACCATGTGCAATATATAGTACATAAATTTAATGTTATGTTATTTAGCGTAAAACCCACCCCGACGTCGTCGTCGTTGTTATTTGTTGTTCAATAGCTAACCGAGGCAATCGCATCTGTTTGTGTGTGTTTTCATTGGTGATCGTTGCGCTCCGGCAACGGCTTCTTATCAGCAGCAGCAGCAGCAGTTCGCTCTCGCCGCTACTCTCTGGCTCTCTGCGCGTGTTGGCCAAATGTTTATTTGTGTCACACTAAGAAGAGGGGGGCGCGCGGTAGTCATTATAGCCAACTTCCCGAGTCGGCGTCACTACAAACCGTCCATTTGCCAGCGGACCCGCACAGAGTAAGCAACCAGTCGCGCGCACTCGCCTCGCCTAAAAATATAACGAAATTTTAAGAAAACAAGCTGTGCCTTGGCCACCTCCTCCTCCTCCTCCGCAACTGGCTAAAAATATTAAATAATAAATGTCGCATCTAACGGAAAACTTTGCCCGTCCGGAGAAACCGGAAGAGGTGGTCACCTACGGCAGTCTGGGTAAGTTTCCTGCTTGATCTAGCTGAAACCCAAGAAGATTTCTCAAGTGACGTGGATTGCACCTTTACTGGCTTCCAGATCCTTCTGTTCAGGAGCTACTAAGGGCCGCCTTTGACGTGCGTCAGCGTGCCTATGTCCCGTATAGTGGGTTCAAAGTGGGCGCTGCCTTCCGGGCCAAGGCCACCGGACAGATCTTTACTGGCTGCAATGTGGAGAACGCCGCCTTCACGCCCTGCTCCTGTGCCGAGCGAACGGCTCTGACGAAAGCCGTGAGCGAGGGAGCCACCGAGTTCTCCGTTGGCGCTGTCCTAGCCTATGAACCTGATGCCTTTACCACGCCCTGCGGCGTGTGCCGCCAGTTTATCCGGGAATTTGCCACCGACGATATACCCATCTACATTGCTCAGGCCATTGATGCCAGGATTGGCAGCGAGGAGCCGCTGCGGAGCGAGGATCCCGTGCTGTGCACCTCCATCTTCAATCTGTTGCCAAGCAGTTTTCGCACGTACCGGAAGTAAATGCAGTCTAATTTCGTTCGAGGCGGAGGAGAGAGCCAAGGGAGCTAGGTTCAAGGTTGCCTCAACTCAGCCCCCCTAGCCGATAGTAATCTATATAATGTTAATCTAATCTCTGGAAATAAAGAAAATTACACTACACTACAAAATGCACATTGGTTTTTATTTATAAGAATATGAGAAGCAAGGTGATGACTTGTCAGAGATTAATTTTTATTAATATTAGGAAATAAAAACAACTGATAATCCACTTCAAATATATAATCTAGAAAGCAGGCGATAGAAAATGAAAGGGTTTTAATTTATGGTCATTTGTTGAAATCTATATTTATGTGAGAAAGTTTCTATTAAATGTCAGCTGACATATTATTCATATTTTGTAGGGTTCTAATTCTAACTGTGATATTTTTATTAGGCTCTGAATATTATGACTAAGCTTTAAAATATATTTTCATTTTATTTGGGTATGTACATACGTATACCTATACAATCATGCTCTTAAATCCATATCACAAACATTGATACACTTGGAAATATAACCCATAGAAAGGAATGTGTGTTAACTGATAGTTTTCATCATTATCATTATTACAATCATCATGACTTTTCTTATAATCCAACAAAATTAAAGGGGGAATTCCCAACTCGAGGGAAGTGCATATTTATTAGAGCTAATAAACAATCGAGGTATCGATCATAAATATTGCTGTATTCCCAACTATTAATAAAAAATATAGCAAGAGGGACATTTTTTAATGTAAATAATAATAGCAAATGATTTTGGGTAGGGACTTTTTAAATTTATTTTTTAAATTATAAATATAAACAATTTTTATACATTTTTTTTGTATACCAAAAATTGGCTTCCGGAAATACTATACTAATTATCCCTGCGTTTCGGCTTGACATTCCGCTGAAACTCTTTCTCTGGAGCCAGACCACCTGGATTAATGCCAGTCAGAACCTCTTCGTAAAAGGGTTTCCCACCGTTGCCAATAATTATTTGGGAATAGTTACGACTATAAAAAATATTTTAATTATAATATAAATCTATATATTAAATATATATTACTCACAGATTATCCTTGAGTTGCTCAATTCTATCCAGCAAAGCGGCATTCCGCTCCTCCAGCTTGGAACGGATTAGGCAAACCCTCTCATACCGCCCTTCCAGCCGCTTGATGTTTTGCTCCTGGCTCCTCAGCTGCGTGTGCTTGTGCTTGAGGGTTTCGAATAGGTTCCGGAATTCTTCGTCCCTGGTGGCAAGCTCTTGGTTTATCTGCGGATCAGGAGGAGCAGGATAAGTCCTGGGAGGGCTATCAATGGGATCAATCGGCGATCAACCTGGTAAATAAGGCTGTCTCTCTTCTCCAAGTCTCTCCTCAAGTCCTTTTCGTTTTGTTCCAGACTGTGAATTCTTTGGGAGTCGAGGGCCAGCTGCTCCTGCATCCTCTCCACATCCTGGCGAAGCCGGGCTTCAGTTTGGCAATGAATCTCAGCTTTTTTGTCGGCGTCCTTTAGCTGCCTCTGCTGGTTACCAATCATATCGCGGGCCTCCGTAAGGTAACCCTCCACAGAAGTGTACTGCTCCAAGTACTTGTTAGCCTTGGAGGTGGCCTGCTCCAGGCCAAAATCTGTTTCCTGCAAGCGCAAGTGCATGCGGTCGTATCTGTGGATAAGGAAAATATTTAAATTCGGAAAATAATTTATTTGGTGTTAGTTCCTTTTTACTTACTCATCCTTGGCCGTCAAAAGCTTGGATTTCAGTTGTTTCATGGCCACGTCTTTGGCCATCTGGACGGACTTGCTTTCGGCAAGACGAAGCTCCTGCTCGGAGACCAAGTTCTGGCTCTGCACCAACTTAATCTTCAGTTCGTTAATGAAGAGATTACGTTTGTCCAGCTCGTCGGCCAAGTCAGGTTGGAAGGCCAGACCTCCTAGAAGGATAAGAGATATCAAGACATTTTATCCAAGTAGAGAATCATCTTTAAAAAAAGCTTAGCACTTACTTCTGGGCGTCAGTTTGGATTTATTGGACGGGCTGCCTGGGAGTGATCCCTTTAAACCCTGTTTTGGTGAGGCCTCCGGCTTCGTATTGAGGTTCTGCTTTTTATCAGGTACTGTCGGATCGGGTTGGACCTTGTCGCTTTGTCCCGGCAAAGTGCAGGACGTCTGATCACTGCGTAAAGGTATGCGGCTCCTGGTTGTACGTAACATGCCTAGTCTACGTTTACCACTGACAGAATCCTGATTCTCATTCATCAAGGTTACAGATTTGATATCTTTTTGTTCCTCTTTGTTCTGATCCTGATCTTCCTTCGCCAAGGCTACAGATTCGATCGCTTCATGTTCTGCTGTCTGAGTAGGAACAGGACTTGTGGGGGTACAATCCTGATTCTCCTTTACCAAGGTTACAGATTCGTTTGCTTCATGTCGTTTTGTCTGCACAGGGACGGGATTTGTAGAGGCTTGCTCCTAAGGAATATAAATTTGAATCTTAGATGCTCCTCCTCTTTTCCCGACTTCTACTTACAGAGGCAACAAGTTCGGTTGACTTCAGTCCCGTACAGACAGGGTCTGGAGCACCAGCACCCCCGAGATTTCTGTTCCCCGAAGGTATGGATTGGCTGGGCTTTGGCAGGGATCCGCGGGGAATTCTGGAAGCATTTCTCACAGCATTGCCACTTTTGGGGGCTTCATCCTGCAGAGTATAGATTATAAAACTCGCAAAGCCTCTTCAAAGCAGCTTATCTTTCCCCAATTCTTACTCACCACTTGTACAGGTACCTTGGGTCCTAGTATGTAACTTGGACTTGAGTACACATTTGCCATATTCCTGATAAGTGAAGATCCAAATTCGCCGGGCTTAGGAAGAGTTCGTCGATTCTGTAAGATACCCGGACTTGTAGGGGTGCGAGTCTGGGGTATATAAAATATTAACAAAGTTAAGACTGTTCCAAATTTCTACCCACCGAGAGAAAAGGTCCTTGTTTCTGTGCGAGACCTGGAATTCTGGAGGGACTATGCAGATTCCTGCTTACAGAGGACAAAGTTTCGGGGGCCTTGAGCGGGGGACTTGCTTTGCCAGTCTTGAGTCCTGGTGTTTGTTCTAGGCTAAGACTTGTAAGAGTTCTCTCTCGTACCTTGCTCCCCGAGAATTGGGATATCTTGCTTATAGGATTGGGTTCTAGAGTCTTTACGGGTCGGTAAATGGTCGATACTCCAGCCTAATGAATTTATAATACAATTTAGAATAGCCTATTAAAAACCAAACCCTGCCAGACTTATACCCACCGCAGGTAAGGATTTGGTGGTCTTCGAGGGGAACACAGTCCGAAAGCGGTTTGTGGGACCTCGATCCTTCAGTGTACGTAATACCACATCGTAAACCAATATCTGCACTATTTTCTTTTCCAATTTCTACTCACCAAGGTTGCAGGTACGCTTTTTTTAGGTCCTGGTGTTTGTACGGGCCTGGGATTTGTGAAAGCTTGACCTGAGGATACAGGTTTGTTACCCTTTAAAGGTCCTTGCGTTTTGGTTTGCGATTTGGGTTCGGATTTCAGATTGCTGCCCTTTAGAAGATGTCCTTGAGTTTTTGAGAGGCCCCGATTTATAAAGCTTCGAACCTGGAGAATATTCAATATAATCTCGTTGGTTAAAAGGAGTTCCAACTTTTCCGTTTCCTACTCACTGATGGAGTCTTTTTAGCCCCAGGTCCTAGAGTTCGCAATGGGCCAATACGTGTGGCTGATCCTCGTGGGAGCTTAAGCACCGCTGGCTTGTTGCCTGAGGTTTTATTCAAGGATACAGGTTTGTTGCCTGGCTTGTTGCCAGAAGCTTTATCCATGGATACTGGTTTGTTACCTGGCTTGTTGCCTGTAGTTTTACCAAAGGGTACAGGTTGGTTGCCCTGTGGAATATATAACCTTGTTAAGCATTTTAAGATGCACTCCCTTTCTTGACTCCTACTCACCGAAGATTTCGGTTCGCTGGCCTTAAAATATCTTGGAGGTTTTAATTTTGTAATGATTGAAGGTTTTTTAGGCACAGGAAAAGGTCCTTGAGTTCGTAATGGGCCAATACGTGTGGCTGATCCTCGGGCGATCTTGAACGCCGCTAACTTATTGCCTGAAGTCTTATCCAAGGATACAGATTGGTTGCCCTTTGAAAAAGGTTGTCGAGTTTGTACGGGACCCGGAATGGCGGTTGTTCGATCCTGTAAAATAGTTAATACCAATAAGGCCCTTTCTTGAATCCTACTCACCAAGTATTTTGGTTTGCTGGCCACTAGATATCCTTGAGTCTGTAAGATGTCCCGACTTGTAGGGGTTCTAGCCTGTAGAATATACAATATAATCTCGTTAGGAGTTCCTCTTCCACTTCCTACTCACTGATGCTAGAGGCTTTTTATCCCCAGAAAAAGGTCCTCGAGTTTGTAATGCCCCAAAGGGTGATCCTCGCGAGACTTTCAGTCCAGCTGGCTTGTTGCCTGAGATCATAATCAATTGAATAAATCCTTATGCTAAGCCATTCACGAATTTCAACTTACGCGCAAGGATATTCATGTTTTCGTAGATCCGGAAGTCGATCGAAGTTAAAAGAAGGACAACGAAAACGCGAAATTTCTATAAAATCAATTTCAAAAGCAGTACGTAATATATCTAAAATATATATTGTTCACTCTATAGGAAATCGTATGTATTAACCGTTATGAATCGGGGGATGTATTAACCGTTGTGAATCTGGAGATGTACTGAAGTTCCAGGCGTAGCCGTGTGTGTACAAATGTTCAATGACGAGTTGGTAGAGCCTACTGCCTTCCCAAAAATCTATTTGAACTTCTCCATCAAATACAGATTTCACATTTTTATTTCCTTCTCGAAAATCAGTAAAAGTTTCAGACTACAAAAAACACTATTTTAATTAAAATTTTTGGTTTTTTGTTTTGAAAAGTTTTATTGGTTTCTTTAGTCTTGGCTGCAACAATAACAATTCTACTAGTATCAAATAACAATTAACATGTAGTAGAGATAAAGGAACAATAACAATACAATTTAAATCAGTTTATTTGCCGGGTTGGCAGCTCCCAGATAGTGGTCCTCTTCAGTCGACGTCTTCCTCTCGTAGTAGGCAGCGCTCTGGCCAGCGGGTTGGGATGTCCAGTCAGCCTGGCTCGGTGTCGGGCAGCAATGGTATTAATGGCGTCTCCCACAGCAGGGACGCGTAGCTCTCTTCTTATGTCGAGGTTTCGAAGATACCACTCAGCGCCTGAGATGCGCCTCAGGAACCGAGATTGGAACGCCTGTATTTTCTGTAGGTGGGTTCTGGCTGCAGTGCCATAAACCGCCACTCCATACTTCCATATTGGAGCAAGCAGGGACTGGTATAAGCGGGTCTTGTATGCCAGGCTCAACTTCGATTTCGGACCAGTAAGCCAGCTAATACGCCTGGCCGTGTTTTGGAGTTTGGCTCTGACCTGCGAAAGATCCTTCAACGTTATATGACCCGTCTTAACGAACTGCAGGACGAGCTGAAGCGCAAAGAGCTTGAAAATAAATTAAGGGAACTCGAATTACTGCAGTCCGAACTGGCGCGTCGACAGGACCGGCAGAACGAGGAGGCCTCCGCCGGTGGCCTCACCAAGGAGCAGCGCCAGAAGGTGCAGCGCAAGGTTCTCGGCTCCTGTATGCGGAAACTGGACGGTTTGGTGTGCGAATTTGCACGTCGCGAGGCGCGACTCAACGGTGAAAGGGGTCGCCCCTCCGAGTCTGAGAATCTGCCACATCCACCCATACTGGAGGAGTATACAGTGGCCTTTTGCCAAGTCGGTGAGTAGATCATATGGGTTAGCAGAGTGTTCAGTCCTGAACTCTCTCCTCTTCTTAGATGAAGGTGGCCGAGAGCTGTTGGAGTCGGCTCTGGCCGCCCGCAGGTGCGCCTATGTCCCTTACAGCCAATTTAAGGTGGGTGCCGCTTTCCGGGCCAAGTGCGGCAGGATCTACACGGGCTGCAACATCGAGAATGCGGCCTTCACTACGGCCAACTGTGCGGAGCGATGTGCTCTGGCCAAGGGCATTAGCGAGGGTGAAATGAAGTACACGGCAGGTGCTGTGGTGGCCTATCATCCGGATGGCTTTACCACGCCCTGCGGCGTGTGCCGTCAGTTTATCCGTGAGTTTGCCTACAAGGATTTTCCCATCTACATAGCCAAGGCCCAGCCACCGGAGATGGAGGGCAGTATTCCGGCAATCCAGGACACTGATGAGGTGCTAGTCACATCGGCCTACAACCTTCTGCCTTATAGTTATAGCACATTCAACTGAACTTAGAGAAGATTGTTTTTAAACTCATTCTGGCTATTAGACAGGGACTGCTTTTAATAAATTTTCGGCAACGCTATAAAGCCTCCTTTTTTCCCAAATTTTCTTAATTTAAAGCATAAAACCTTAAGCTTTATTTAACATAAATTTAGCTAAAGGAAGGAAGAGATTAAGCCTAGAGAAAAGGACCTCTAAACATAAGTTAAAACCGGTTCTCCCGATCCGTATATCCCGTATTCGCTCTTCTTAGCAAACGGCATCACATCCGCATGCTCCAGCACGGGCCTCACATTCGGATCGAACTCCACCAGCCGGCTCTGCGGGTCCGTGTACTTGGCCCGCACCTCCGTTACCATACCCGAATGAGGCACCCGCTTGGTAAGATTCTGGAACTCGCAGCGGCGCTTGGGGCAATCCTTGGAAGGAAAATCATCGCACATAGTAGGATCCGGTTCACGGGACACTTTCCGCGGGGGCACCATCTTCTCCGACCAGTTCCAGTACGTAAGATTGTCGTGGGCACCCACGCCACCGTTTATTTTCTCCGGACTCAGCCGCACATACGAGAGATTGTAGGTGGTGGCCGAGGGATCCAAGTACTTGCTGTAGCCCTCCTCGGCACGATCGATGATTAGCTTGGTGGCTTTAACGGGCGTGGGCATGGCAGGGGCCACCACCTCCGGCTCCTCGGGCATTTCCTTGAGCACATAGGTGTCGTGGCTAACACTCGAGATGGGCTTCATGCGGCGCTTTACAAAGCGCAGCTGCTCCTGCTCGAAGGGCTTCATGTACTGGGTCTTCATGTTGAGCGAGGGATTCTTCAGGGCATAGGGATCTCCATACTGGAAAGGGGGGTGGGGAGAGTCCTTTAGAGAAGGATACCTCCTTTGACGATTTGTTGTCTTACCTGCCATACATAATTGGCCATGGCTTCAGAGGTGGGCTTCTCCGACAGCAGCGGATCCCTCACATAAAGGTCCTTGTCGGCAAACTTTACATTCAGCTTGTTGTCCATCCTCAGATCGGTGAGATGGTAATGACCCCGATACGTAGAGGTTCGCCAATCAGTTTGCTTGTGGCTAACCGGGCGCTTGTAATCAAAACAGCCAAAGTCATCCATGGTCAAGGGGTTTTTAAAATGAATTAAAGTAAGAACTCTTTTGCTGGGTATACTAAATTTGGGAAACGCTTGGTTGTTGCCTGGCTACCGATGCCAAGTTAGTGTGCTGTTGATTGATAACAAACATCTAGCCTTCTGTACAATACTTTCTCATTTATTTCCATTTATTTATATGTATTTTATAGGTAATGCTTCAGAGAGAGGAATGCTTGTTTCACAAATATATAAAAGCGCTCTGTGTTCACAAAAAACAAATGGTTATTCGTTACAATACAAATACATGTGTGTGTGTGTGGCTAAGATAATAAATGTTGCACTCAATGGCAATAATAATAAACTGTTTGCTTAGCAATTAAACAATTGATTTACTTCCATCTCCTGGACTCATTCATTAACCACCTCGTCCTCTCAGGCAATCTCCTTTAGCGCCAGCAGCGATTGGCGCAGATATTCATACTGGGTCTTGGCATGCTTGATCTCTAGCTCAGAGAGCTCAACAAGGCTGCAATAGTGATAGGAATTTAAAATAAGATACCCCCATTAAAGGCTCTTCGGCAGACTCACCTCTTCTTGAAAGCCGCCACCCGTCGATTGCGAAAGCCAATCAGCTCTTCCTTGCCGCAGGCAGACATCGATTCAAACTTTTCGCAGGCCTCCGCCTGGGCAGTCTCAGCCTAAGTTGAAAACCAAACATGAGATTAGTTGGATTCAAAATCACCGTGCCACAACAAGGACATGCTAGAGTGTGTGATTACGAATGGAGGGCATGCAGCTGTTTACATCTACTAAATCGACGGTTAATAAACCTTAAAATGCCAAATACCTCTTGCACCTCCAAGGGCTGCCACACACACAGAGAGAGTGAGGGGGCAGAGGGACAGGCAGAGCAGAGAACGAAGAGCGGAGCAATGTGAGGTGGTTGAGAAAAAACAAGGTAGTTAATATTTTGGTTTATAATTAGTGAAGCGTTAGAATTGATTGCCCCGCTGAAACCACATTTTTGAAAAGGGTTGAAAACGTTGTCTATAAAAAGGATTTGGGTTACAGAAGCTCTGCCCGCATCTTACCGCATGCACATCCTTGTTCTTGGAACGGGCCTTCTCCAGATTACGATTGGCCGTCTCATAGGCAGCCAGGCATCGCAGGCGTCGGATTAGCAAGGCCTTGGCAGCATCACTGTCCCTTTGATAGTAGCGCAAAGTGTCGCCCAGCTTGAGATCCTGATCGCTGGCCACACGGGTCTCCAGATTCTAAACGAAATTTAACGAATAAATAAAGCATTTATAAACTTTTATTACAAACCCACCTTAATTCTCTCAAATATCTCTGCTGTCTTGGCCACAAAGGTCTCCACATTGCCCTTCTCGGTGGTCGACAGCTGGGTCAAGGCATTCGATATCTTCTGATGGCTATCGCCCACATCCTTGTGCCGCTGTGTCATCTTCTCTGTACGGATGGCTGCCTCACGCAAATGCCCATGGTATTCGGTGAGGAATTGCAGCTCGTTCTCAAAAAAATCATTCACATCTCGCACCGTGGCGCTGAGCAGAATCTCGTCGGTGGTCTTGCCCAGCGACTTTACAAAGCCACCGAAAATGGCCATCTTCTTGCGCGGCTTGGCGCACAAATCCTGATCGTACTCCAGGAATACCTTGAGATGCTGGTCCACGCGAAAGACGGGATGACTGGCCAGTCGACGGAGGAACACTTCGTGCATGGCGACGGTTTTTTTGAAGGTAGCAAGGTATTCGCTGGAAAATAGTAAAAATATAGTTTATTATTATATTTTATATTATAATTTCAGTCTGAAGCCAGAAAAGTAGTGAAGGAATCATTTCCGACCCTACAAATCATATATATTCTTGATCAGCATTAAAAGCCGAATCGATTTAGCCTTGTTTGAAGAAAAACAATTTTTTAGCCATTTTTTCAAAATTTGATAAGGGGTTACATCATTAAAATTTTCAAAAATTTTCAAAAATTTTGATTTTAAAATAAAATTTAATCTAGTATGCAGATTTATTATCCTTATAAAAACGAACACAAAAAAGCTTTCCGGAGTAAATTTAATGCATTTTTGGTTTAGTTATTGCATTTTTAAGATTTGATTTTCCGAAAAATTACTAGAAAATATTATAGATAAATATTTAATTTAATTTTGTAAGCAGATTTGTTAACCTAATGAAAATCAGCACAGAACTGTTTTTCAAATCAAGATATAAGTACTTTTGACTTAGTTATGATATTAAATATTAAATTAAAAATTGATTCTCTGATCTAGTTGCAAAAAGAAAGGGTTTTCAAACTCCGGATACCCAAAGTTAGCTCCTTTTCTATTTTTTTTTTTAAATAAATTAAGGCACTTACGCCTCCAGCTCCGACTTCATCTTCTTGAACTCCTCTTTGGTCATGTTGCCTTCGCCCTCGCCCAAACGCTGCAGCTTTTCGCGCGACGCATCAAAGTCCGGACGCGGCGGACAGGGTGGAATCTAGCCAGGATATCATGATATTACTATCAGCATCAGAAATATATGTTAATAATTTAAAAACTCACAATGTAGCCGGCATAGTCTTCGTTCTCCTCGATGCGATCGTGCAGCCACACAAACTCCTCATGCTGACGCACCACATTATTGTCCTTTTTCGCAAAACCCGGCAGCGTGGTGCGTGTGTGCACTGTGAACTTGACCTTTTCCTTTTCGCTCAGTGCATCGGATATCTCCACATGGAGGGCGTTCTCGCCCAGGGCAACGGGAGCAGCGGGCGTGGCCGGTGCGGATGAGGAGCTGTCCGGCGATGTGGCAGATCCACTGCCATTTGTGGCAGGTGCCGCTGCTGGGCTGGCCAGAGGATTCGCCAGCGGGTTGGTGGGCGAGACTATTTCCATGGTAGAGCCATTGTTGTTGGTCGCAGAGGGACTGTTCAGCAGGTTTGAGTCATCCGTGCCGTCCTGTAAGTGCAATAAACACATCAATTCACACTCTAATTACGCCCATTTTCATGATAAGACTTTTCTTTGTGTGCGCGGTGCAAGAGGCGTCTCTTGGACGGCTCTGCCAGCAGCTCTCAATGGAAACACTTGAAGGTATCAATAACTTCGAGGCGGGGAGATTAGGCTTGGGTTTCATGTGTACATACCATCATTTTGTTGCTGGCTTTAGTTTCCTTAATTAATCACTCTCTTTCGTGGAATTCAACAAATCAACAAACTTTTTCTTTCACTGCGACTTTTGCGGCTTATCGATACATTCTAGTGATGGGACGTGAGTCGATATTTTAGTATTGGGAAATGGGAATATGAAAGGCATATTCACTGGCTATATTTTGCTCTAAATTTGATTTATTTTTTAAATATCTATTTATGTTTATTTGCCATTTCTTTTTTATACATTCTTGTGTTCATTTTACATAGGTATTCGATATTTGCATTGGGTAAATACTATCGATTAACCTAACTGAGTGCCATCTCTAAGCTTTAGCTTTTTAGCAAGTGGGTAGTCCGTTGATTTTAAATTTTGTAAATTATTTAATGGAAAGCTAAGTCCTTGTTTTACCTTTTTCCTTAAGAAGTAAAGCAGGGATCAAGCCATCTATGGCAGGACTCCTCCTCCGCTCGAAGTCTCATGGGGCAGCATTCATAGTGCAGAGTCCTTTGTAGATTATTTAGTTCTTAATATTATTATTTTATTTTATTTTATGTTGTTTTTTTCACAGTAGAAAATAAATCAAATTAATAAATAAAGACTAAAAAAGTAAACACAAATTATAAAACTTTAATTAATTTATTTCTCTGGACATTAAATAAGTGGTTTAGGTAAGCTTTTGAAATTTGGAGAACTAGCTTAAACCCTTTTTAACTGTACTAGGAATTTGTTTATTTTTTTGAATATCCATCAGATGCCCCTAAACCGAAACGTCAATTCTGTTTTATTTAAACTCAATTTAGTTTAAATTAAAAAAAAAAAAACAAAACAAAATCTAAGGAAAAAATGCCTAAACAAAATCAGTCGGAAAAGCGCACCCGCCAAAGGGGCAAGAACTTCTCGCCATCCGAGGAGGATATACTACTCCGTCTGCTAAAGCCCTATAAACCCATTATTGACAACAAGAAATCCGATGCTTTGACCTGCCAGATGAAGAAGGAGGCCTGGGAGCAGTTGGCCCAGAAGTTCACCCACCAAACCGGCATGCCTCGCACTTGGCGGACCCTCAAGGATAAGTACAAGAATATGAATACCAAGACCAAGACGGAGGGCAGACGGTTGGTCAGTCAACCCATCAATCAGTTGGATGATTTTGAACTAACACCCAGTAGTTTTGTGTCGGTAGTATATGATGAGGTCGGGGAGGAGGAGGAGGATAATCAATGTGAGTTGGGTGCCATGATTGCTTATTTATATTTGTTTTTTTTAATATTTTTGCTAATATATATATTAAAATTTAAGAATAATATAATAGTTGTGAAGGGAAGTTTCTATATGCAACTTTAACTCTTATCTTTATTTATGTTTTCCACAGATGACTTAATTGAGATTAAACCTGAGAAAATTGAAGAGGTTTTTATTGAAATTGTATTCAAAATAAAACTTTTTTTTCAAGCTAAACCCTTATTCCAGAATCCTATCCAGGAGGAAGATCAAGAGGAAGTTCAGGAGGAAGTTCAGGAGGAAGTTCAGGAGGAAGTTCAGGGGGAATTTCTATGGGCTAACCTATCCCCGCTTTCACCGGAAAAAGACCCAATAACCCCACCCACTAACAACAGCAAACGATCCCTGGAGGCCGATAGACATGAGCTCATTCGCCTGCAGCAGAGATTCTATAACAATGAGAACGCCAGATCCGCCAAGAGACATCGCCTCGAGCTCAAGAATCTTAATCTGAAAAGCAAAATCTTGGAACTGGAACTAGAGGAGCGACGTATGCGCTTGGAAAACAACAAGGAGAACACCACAATCACACCAAGTTGATGCCACTCAACCCCGATTAGGACTCATTAATGTTGATATACGATACCCATTGTATTTGAGTATATACACAGTTCAAGTCGTTCATTTACATAGATCAAAATACACTTAGAGCTAGACTAAACCTAGACATGAAATGGCATTAATAAGTATATAACATGGAGAGTGTGAGTGTGGTGGGCCTTAAAGCTATATCAGAATCTGGACAATGCCACTAAGTAGTATTGTTTTTCTAAAGAAACCTTCCACAAATCAGTTGGAATTGTAAAAAGGGAATTAATACAATAATTTATAATTTGTTTTTGATTCCCAATTTCTCTCAATAACTCTCTCAATTCCCTCTAAAATTCCAACTAATCCTGTTAAGGTTCCTTGACCTAAACTAATGGCTCCGGAACATCCTTAATACCTTCGCTGCTCCTTCTCATTGACGGCGGACAGTGGCTGGTAGCTGGGATTCGAGAAGGCTTCCGTTGGGGCCGCCGTGCCCGTTGATGTCGCCGCTTTGCTCGGCAGATTTTTCCTCGGCGGCTTTACATTCACATAGTTATCCGCCGTCGAGTCCCCATTGAGTTTCGTCTCCACATGATGGCGGGGCGAGGGCGTGGGCGTGGCATAGTGCTGCTTCAGAGCCTGATTGAAACGCCTCGCCTGCTCGGGACTCCGGCGTTCGCCCTCCTCGTCCTCATCCGAACCCGCCGAGCGGCGATGCAGCATGGGTATCTCCTCGGGAGCCTGATCCGCCGCATCCACCGTGGGCAGACCGTTTTTCTTGTTGCGTAGGGGCTTGCTGGCCCCACTTATGTCCATGTTGTTGCTCAGCGTCGGCGAGTGGCGGGCTCCTGGTGGGAAATTGAAAGTGGTTGTGTCGCTAGAGAAGTCCGCAAAATCGCTGGCCGCCTCCCCTTCGAGGCGCGTGGGTGAGAAGATGGCTGTGGCCGGTGGCGGTGGTGCATCGGAGTCGGGACTCATGGCCATGTAGTCATCCGGCAGCTCCTCGATGCCTGTGTTAGTCGTGTGTGTGGTGTGCCATGGTGCAGAGGGATGCATGTGTGGGGGGTGAGTGTGTGCTTAGTTAGTAGCCTGATCCATGGCCAGCAATGGGTTATATCTGTATGCTTTATACTCACGTATATCGGGTACAATGTGTCCGTTGACGTAGCGTGGAGCCGAGGGCGCCAGCTCATCGGGGGAGCCCATCAGGGCCAGGTAGTCTGTCTGCTGGTTCTTCATGTACTCCATGTTGCTTTGCAGGTAGGGATTATTCAGGTCCAAGTAGTGCTAAGGAGCAAAGGTAATTCTTAGTTAGGAATCTTGGAAATAAATTCAGAGAAGGAAAACTTACATTGGCCACATCCTCGCCCAGCATGGTGGCAAAACGCTTCTCCAGCTCATTGAACAAGGGTCGGCTTTCGGGACTGCGAGAAGTATTAAATATTTTATGTAATTAATAATTAATATTTTTAGAGACCCAGACAAGCACTTACTTCTTCCTCCAGCACTCCAGCATAATGTCGTAGAGCTCCTGATTGGCATAGGGCGGCTTCTCCATGCGGTAGCCATCGTTTAGCTTGTTGAACAGCTCCTGATTGGGATCTATGCCCGGGTAGGGGACCTTGGCCAGCGAGAACATCTCCCACAGGACAATGCCGAAGGACCAGACATCGCTGTATGTGCTGAAGACATGATCGCTGAGGGACTCCAGCGCCAGCCACTTAATGGGAAGTTTGCCGCTCTCTAAAATTGAATAAAATTAAATTAAATTAAATTTATTTTAATTAAGAATCAGTCCTAAAATTCAATTAAATATTTAACATTTAAAAAAATTAACAACAAATTAATCAGTGGCTTACCCGACTTCTTGTAGTTATCCCCACGATACATGGAACGCGCCAGACCAAAGTCACAAATCTTGACGACATTATCCTCGCACAGGAGTATATTTCTGGCCGCCAGATCGCCATGCAATACCTTCTTGGAGGACAAATAATCCATACCCCTAGCCACTTGGAAGGCCCAGCTAACCAGGTCAACCGTGGTCACCGACATGGCCTCCGTGGAGTCTGTCTTGTAGTTGGAACGCCAGGCGGGTTGAACCGAATTATTGGACATGATTTGGTCATCTGTGGATAATCAATTTAATTAGGACACAGGTCATCTTGAGAACACCTTCAATCTTTAGCTGAAACTCACCCTCTGGGACAGTGGTCATCACGGTGTTACAGGTGTCCATCTGTCGGTCGTAGCTATAGGTGGCAGACCCGGATCCTGGTCGTCCGGCACGGGTGCCCGATCGGGGATCATTGTCGGAGTTTCTGCGATGATTAGGCGGCGGTTGGGTGTTATTGTTGTACGAGGAGTTCAGTTGGTTCATGTACGAGTGGAGCGGGAACCCGACATTAGCATACTTCAAGCCACCACCGTTAGCATCGCTGTTAATTGGGGTTTAGTCGCGGCGCCCACACAGACAAACAGGAGGAGGAGACACACAAGGAGGAGACCACAACCAGGAGCGGGAGATCACAGGCACAGGTGGTGAGAGATGCACAGGCAATACAGGTGCGCATACAGATACATTCAGAGTGTTTGTTTTTTGTGTGTGTTGTGGTAAGATTTGTTGATTAGATCGTGTCGAGTGTAGTTTGTTGGTTAGTCGAGGGTTAGTAAGGATTACCAAAACCAGAAACGGAACAAGATTAGCGTTAGTTAGCAGTTAAGATAAGTTAAACTTGGGGTTAGTAAACACTGGGTTAAGAGAGGAGAGTGTAAAGTGGCAATCACTTACCGGTGCAGGTCAAAGTTCTCAGAGAAGCGTTGCGTCATGATGTTGGGATCAATGTGATCGGTATCCGGGCTGATCTGATTAATAAAACACTTTCTATTCCTCAGCAGGAAGTTCTGGATATTGCCAAAGCGACAGTACTCCACAATGACCATGAGTTCACCTTTGGGAAAGAGGGTTTAAATATAAATTTAATGATTTTCTAAAGAGGCATAAAATCTTAATAAAAATAAAGTGGGAAAACGTAGAGATACTTTCAGACTAAATTTTAAATAATTTAAAATCTAGAGAGATATATTTATCTTTATAATCCAAAAAAAATGTGTTAATCTAATGAAATTGTTTAAAAAATCCATAATTTTTTAGTTTATACTCACGCTTTGCTATATTTTTGGTAACAGCTCCCAGCAGATTCACCACATTCAAGTGCTGACCCAGATGGACCATAATCTTCAACTCGGACACCAAAGCCCGCACCACCTCATTGTCCGCCGTCCGCTTGACCATCTTAACGGCCACCGTGGTGACGGGCTCCTCCTTTCGTATACCCTTGGCCTCGCCCTTGAGTACCACGCCAAAGGCTCCGGCTCCCAACTGCTTGCCCAGCTTCAGGTTGTCGCGCGGGAACTCAAACTCCCGGTTATAGGGCAGCAGCTCCGCCTGTTCATCCAGAGTGAGATCGGGATTAATGTGTCCTACGGCTCCCTCCTCGAAGTTGGCCAGCCCAGCGGCCTTCAAGGCCAGATGTCGTTTGTGCTCCTTGTGGTAGCGAACGGCCAGGAAGGCGCACAGGCTGATCAGGAGAAGGAACAGCATGACACCGAACCAAATCCAGCCCTTGCTTATGCCGGGAAGGTCTGGAGATCACAAAGAACTTATAAAAATCTATAAGAAGTTAAAAAGAAGAGAAACTCACTGGAAAGAACCACTGTGATGGAGTTCTCAATGCTGCCCAATCGATTCTCCACTAGACACCGGTAGACACCCTCATCCCCGGGATACAGATGAGTGATCAGCAGCTTGGTGTCGCCCTCAGGGAAATGCAAGAGATTCGTCTCCACCAGCTCCCGGCCATCCTTGAACCACCGAACGGTGGCCAATGGAACCGCCTCAGAGCGGCACACCAGCTCCAAGGATTGGCTCAGGTTTCGCTCCATTTTCGAATGGGTATTCAGGTTGGTGTACTTCCACTGCGGCGCCCGGGGATCGTGGACGAAGACGTTGATTTCCCGGCTGCCGTAGTCCCCGGAATTCATGATGTGGTAGGCACGACACTCGTATGTGCCACGATCCTCGTCCGTTATGGAACTGAAATGCACGGTACTCTTGTAGGAGTACTCCGTTTTGCTGGTTTCAATCGTGACACCTGGAAAGGTAAAAATAAATTAAATTTCGTAAACATTGGAATACCTTGTAGTGAAAATCTTACGCTCATCTGCCTCCAGCTCCACGCCATCGTGAAGCCACCTCAGTTTGTCGTCGAAGTGATAAGCCAGAGCCTCGCAGGTGAAGTTCTCCTCGTCACCCTTGGCAATCTTCCGCTGCTCATCCAGGCCATAAATGGTCATATTCTCGGCAATGTCGCCTAGTAGGACATGTGCCTTGGTCTGCGATCGCCGCGCTTTGCCGTCCACCAGATTCTCGGCAATGCAGGTCAGGATGCCTGGTTCGGTGGGCCTGAAGGACACCTCCACGATGCGCTCTATGCTTAGCTTTCCTGGTCTGGGTTTGGTTTGGAACTGTGGGGGGTACATAGAGTGGATTAGATGGGGAGTTCATTTTGGAAGTTACGAACAAAGATTGTACCTGATATTCCTCCTGGATTTTGGGTGACTGCAGCAGACGACACAGAAATAGCCAATGAAAGATGTTTGAGGAGACGATAGACAAATGTTTAAACATAAACTTAATTATTTGTTTAACACTTAATAATAAACTTATGAGGAATACATAAAATTATGGATGAAAGATGTGTAATAATAATAAAGATAATAAATGTTCTTAAAAATAATATTCAAAAAATCTAGACCACAAAATATCCTTCCCAAACTTACACTAAAATTCTGGTTAAGCACCGAGCAGGTGGGCCATCGTGGCTCCAAGGTGCAGGGCCGGAAGAAGAAGGTAACAATGGCCGGCGGATAAGCACGCACTGTGCACTCCAGCCGGGCCACCTTGCCCACTTGGACATAGACATCCGACATGCTAAGCGCAGGGCCAT